TTAAAAGTCAGTTGTGTTGTTTTTGTTTGTGTGTGTTGAGTGATGTTTTGTGTGATGTGTGTGTTGGGTGATGTTATTTTGTGTGATGTATCATTCTGTGTTATGTTCTCTTTTGTTCTTCAAAAAGACCATTTTATATTTTTTAAATCATAGCGTAGCACAGTAACGCAGCAGCATCTGGATTTGTTGCTGACACCTACCCCACCCTCCCTTAAAAAACAACTTGCGTTACCCCTGGGGTTATGGGTCCCTCGTCTTATAATGTCTCCGAGCACCAGACTGACCTGTTACGTCACTTATCTCTACCCCCCCCCACACACACAACAACAACACCTATGTCTAACAGATCCGACTAGAATCTACACCCAGCCAAATACACACAAACTCTAGTCACATCTAGGTTCATCTGGTGTAACAATCATCCACTAACGTCCCTTGCTCCAATCCTTGAAATTTCGTCGTGTGGTCAATCTAAGACTTGCTCGCACTTCACTTGGTCGTGTCAGGTTCGGATCCCAGCAGATGGGTGAACGAACCCGACAAAACTTCACACATCCATTTATTTCTTATGATGGGTATTCTAATCATACCGACGTGAAGAGAAACAATACAGGCGGCAACCTTGCGAGGACTGAGAAAATGTACTCTACCGTCCTATGCTCACATGAGCTCTAAATTATTACGATGCCTACACATTCTTACCGCAGTGAAATTGCTATATATGTAACAGTATGAATAGATCCCAAAACATTATTTATACTTGGCTAGACCAGGAATTAAAATCGGATTAGCAGTTTCGTCTTCCATTAGAAGACCAATGCTCCAGGCAATCTAGGCTGCATCTTTGAGTAAACACTTAGCTACATGGTTTAGCATGTCACATTATATAGGTCTCTATGTCACATTATATAGGCTTATTACTTATATTGGATATCACATTAAAAAGGCCTATATTTAATACACATAAGTGGTTTCATCATGACCTGTTTGTTTTTTAACAACGAGGTTATAAGAGACATTTTTTACCATAAGGTAAAGACCGGGAGGGCAACCATTAAGCAATGCCTACAAGATCACGTGATTCTAAAAATAACATTAGCCATATACGTCCCAACTTGAAAAGAACGATAAAAATGTCTTATGTTATTTCAGCTCCATAGAACATAACACGCCCCATGGGGCGCCTGAAAATATTTTTGGTCGGGTGCTTCCCCCCTCGTCCTCCCCCCACCCCTCAGCTGCCTGAGAGAGGTTCGTGCTCGTGTCCTTTCAAGCCGTCCCGAGGAGCACTTGGCGTAAAGAAAACTCCCGAGCGCTACCGTAGCGCGGCCAGGGCTGAAGTGGCACGGTGTACGAGCTTTGTCCCGGCCCGGGGACGAGCCATGCCTCGTCATGCCTATCTAATGCAGGAACCATTTCAAAGACCCTCACGGCTGATGCGCTTGTTATGAATCCTCGAATCTGAAGAAGGGATTCAACGCACACAGATAATACACTTATCAAGTTATGCTCTGTGAAAAAAAAATCTTCCATTAGGTTATTTCAATGAGTTTCTAACTATATAAGAGGATTTTTTTTTCAAATGGCCAGTTCTTCATATCATGTTCTAGATCTTCTTGTAAAGTAAAGTTTGTGGAGAGCATTATTACTTCCCATGTAGGAACGTACGAGGTTATTTTAAACACCAAAAGGTGTCAAAGTAGGGGAGGGGGTGGCATTTTCAATATTACATGGCAAATTAGACAGCCTGGTTTTATAATAGGGCCTACTACACACCAGTATTGGGGGTTGTTGAACACAGGGGGAATAAAAATGGATTTTTTCAAGTTGTTTTTGGGTAATAGAGTTTTGTAGCGGGTAGTATGGTACATCCAGCATCACTTCCCCCCCCCCTCCTCCTCACACACAACCACACAACAACAAACATTACCCTCTTAATGTCCGATACGGTTCAATGTTTTAAATACATTTGAATCCTACCAAAAAACATGAACTAAGGCAAAGCGGAGGAAGGATATGAATGCACTACATTTTTTTAAATATGTTGTATATTGGTGCACAAATAGAAGTATTTGAACATAATGCTGTTGTTTAGACTTCTTGCTAACTCAAATACTAACACACATGACAATAATTCTCCACGTCACGATCAAATAGCTCTTTTTTAGCTGAACTAAGATACAGCAGTGTTAAGTGGGGATTGGAACATGTTTTATACGGCTAATCTTCATCATAGATGCGTCAGTGGCATCGCGAGGTAAGGTGACGGTACCACTGGGTGCGATAGTTTATGTTACCCCCCTCACTTACAAAGAATATATATATATATATATATATATATATATATATATATATATATATATATATATATATATATATATATATATATATATATATATATATATATATATATATATATATATATGTGTGTGTGTGTGTGTGTGTGTATGTGTGTGTGTGTGCGTGCGTGCGTGCACCCAACCCATCTTTGTGACGATACTGTAACTCCCCCATTTGTATCCCTCGTCCGACTTCCAAGCTATCTATACAGTTTTATAATGTTTGAATGTTTGACTATAGCACACTACTTCCCCGACACCCTCCCAAGTAGTCTCTACCTCCCCACACCGACACAGTTGGTCTCTACCTCCCTCACACCCTCCCAGGTAGTCTCTACCTCCCCACACCCACACAGTTGGTCTCTTCCTCCCCACACCCACACAGTTGGTCTCTTCCTCCCCACACCCACCCAGGTAGTCTCTACCTCCCCACACCCACACAGTTGGTCTCTTCCTCCCCACACCCACACAGTTGGTCTCTTCCTCCCCACACCCACCCAGGTAGTCTCTACCTCCCCACACCCACACAGTTGGTCTCTTCCTCCCCATACCCACACAGTTGGTCTCTTCCTCCCCACACCCACCCAGGTAGTCTCTACCTCCCCACACCCACACAGTTGGTCTCTTCCTCCCCACACCCACAAAGTTGGTCTCTACCTCCCCACACCCACACAGTTGGTCTCTACCTCCCATCACCCACCCAGGTAGTCTCTACGTCCCCACACCCACAAAGTTGGTCTCTTCCTCCCCACACCCACACAGTTTGTCTCTACCTCCCCACACCCACACAGTTGGTCTCTTCCTCCCCACACCCACACAGTTGATTTCTCGACCTCCCCACACCCACACCCACCCCCAGCTGTTGTCTCTACCCCCCCACCCCCCCAACACCCCCCATCCCCAGTTGGTCTCTCCCTCCCCACCACCCACCACCAGTTGGAGACGACCTCCCAAAATTCTACACCCTGTAATGTATCTGAACCTACCCATCTCAATTAGCTTCCACAACACACACGTTCCGCTCTGGTAATGCAGTCCATCGAATCTTTGTATATAGATCCAGATTTTAATTTAAAAGGTTTATACATTTATAGTAATAATCTGTGAAAATCTGCAGCCTCCCTCACCCCGCCCCCAACACGAACACACCAGATGCACCCAATGCCCCCATCTCATCCACAAAAACAACTTAATGGCCGATCAAGATCAGGCCTTTAACCCTATACCACCCTGCTAGTATTATATTTTATTCACGAGTTTTATTTTCTTTGAATCTGATATCAGGGAAATAGTTATTGAAATTCTTTTTCATCCACTGAAAGTCTGCAGTTGTCTTCTCTTTCTTTCTGTGACTCGTAGAAAATCTTTTATCCGTGTATGAACTTTCGGCAGACACACCCTTCCACTTGATTAATTTCTCCAAATCTCTACACGAAGATGCCAATGCCTATTCATTTTTTCTTCGTTTTTACTTTCAAATTATAGTAACGACATGTTAGTGTACAGGTTTGATTACCTCAGTTTAACTGCGAAATTATAGTTAGATATAGACAATGACGTGTCATGAAACTAGGGTAAGGATAAAAACTTTTTTCTTAACTTGGATAGGGCAATGATTATTTTTTCATTTAAGTACAGTAAGGGCAATGACTTTTTTCGTTAAGTATGGTAAGAGCAATGGCTTTTTTTTTCTTATGTATGGTAAGGGCAATGGCTTTTTTTATTAAGGGGGTCATCCATAAATGACGTCACGCTTTGTTTTGACGATTATTACCTCCCCGCCTCCCCCCTCACCACCCCCCCCCCCCTCCGTCACACGTCGTCACAAAAAGCGAGACCCCCCCCCCCCTAAAATGACGTCACACCTCAGCCTACAACCCCCCCCCCCCCCTCAAAATTGCAGTTGAATATTTTTTTAAAACATCGATATTTTTCCAAAATCTTGTCTGAACTCTGTCAAAATCGAGTATTTTAATCAATTCCTATTACAATTTATTAAAAAAGTTTTCTAAAACGCAAAATAACGTCTAAAATTCGTTTTCTAACATTGCTTTTTTATAATGCAATAGTGAGTCGTCGCTCCATCTGAACCCCTCCCCTCACCACACACCGTCACAAAATTACGGACCCCCCCCCCCTTCCCCCCTACAAGCGAGACGTCATTTATGGACCACCCCTAAGTAGAATAAGGACAATGACTTTTTTTTCTTAAGTAGGGAAAGGACAATGGCTGTTTTCATTAAGAACGGTAAGTACAGGTGGATTTTTTAAAGTTCTACACGCCCAGATATAAACTTTAGGAAAGGTGTCGCTGGCAAGTTTCTTTGGTTTAAGTAATAAATTATACTTAGGCTCACAAAAAAAACCCATTCCAAATTCTAAACGTATGTCATAGTGTCTGGATAAACCGTCTGAAGAAATCAACCATTAAGAAAAACCATTATTTTATTTTAATATATTAGATCTAGATCTAGATCTAGATTCAATGTGTTTTAAAGGAAAATAAATCTGTTTTTCTTTAAATCTAATCTCGGAACTCTTTTATAGGAAAAACATATTTTGTATCGATTGTAAACTTTTACACCTCTTAAGACTAAAAAACGTAGAAAACAGTGACTTGTAGGCGTAGGGCTTCAATTTTGTTTTATACATTTTTTTAACTCAAAGATTTGGCAAGTTAGTTTTCATCAGATTTTGAATATCTATTCTTAGCTCGCTAATGAAATCTAGGCTTCTAACAGTTTCCTAGTTTTTGTTCTTGCCTTTTTTTTTTCATTTTATTGAACTGAGATGAGTGAATGAAGTCAGTGGGTGGATGATTGATTTGATTCTGATCTGGATGAATGATGATTTTTTGATGAACTGAACTACTAAACTTTCTGACAATGCCAGTGACAGTCCACCCTCTACTACATGGGTTCCCAAACTGGGGGTCCCGAAGGGCTCTCTGGGGGAGTCGCAAACTGGTACACTAAGTCACTAACTAAACTAAAAAAAAAAAATATTTAGAAGTAATAGTCTATAGAAGAATATCTTAAATTCGGCTTCACTAACATCATAGGAAATGAAATAGAGAAAAACAATGCGTACTTTGCAAAGTTGTTCTCTATGAAGGTGAGTCATTCAGAACACACAATGAAGATTATGGAGTTCTTTCGTCGGCGTGAAGTTAGTTGCAAACATCAGAGATTTAATCGAATATGAAGTTTTCTTCAAGGAAACACAGCATTAGTGCAAGCATCAAATTAAGTCACATTAGAAATTGCCAAGCAAAAACAACACAATAGGAGAAAATCTCATCAACCCCTGCATGTTGAAGATGGTTAAATTAATTCTTGGGGATTCCAATGCAGTAAAGATGCAACAAATAGCTCTATTCAGCTGCTTATACCAGACATGTCTGTAGATGTGAAATAACAAATTTTAAATGAAATTATGCTGTCACCATTGTTTGCTTTTCAAGATGATGAATCGACAGACATTATTTCGTGTTCACAGTTGCTTGTCTTTGTGAAATATATTAATTCAGATAATAGCAATAGCAAACAAGAGTTGCTATTTTGTGAAGATATTATGAAGAAAATAAATCGTTTTTTTAAACTGGATGATTAAAATGGGAAAAGGGCTGAGGGGTTTGTATGAATGGTGCGCCATCTATGTTTGGGTCAAAATCGGGCTTTCAGAAAATAGTAAAAGATTTAGCTCCCTAACCAAGGGGAATCCGCTGCATGATTCACCGGTATGCTCCCGCCAGCAAGACTTCTGACTCCATTGCTAATAAAAGTCATAGATTATATTAAATCTGGAGCCCTAAACTCCCGTTTGTATAAAAAAACTGTGCCAAAACAAAGATCACGAGGTTTTGCTTTTCTACACTGCAGTAAGGTGGTTGTCAAAATGAAATATTGTAAATCGTGTTTAATAATTGAAAGATGAAATCTAGTTGTTCTTGGAAGTGCAAGAGAAACAAGACCTTTTGATATACTTTAACGACATGGTCTGGTTGGAGAGAGTATCATACCTAGCAGATATATTCGAACATCAACATACAAAATGAACGAATATTATCTCTTTCCAATTAAAAACAAATCATAGAAAAAAAATTGAATGTTGAGAATGACGTGAGATTGGCGTTAACAAAAACTCAACTGCGAATGTTGAGGCTAGTTAATAGCATGAAATTTTTCTCATCGTATTAAAACATTTATCAAGAATAATTCATTTTGAAAGTCTACAAGAAAATCTTACTTTAGTCCTTATAAATTTCCTTATTAGTTTTGACTTTTGAATTCCACGGGGGGGGGGGGGGGGGGGGGGGGGGTAGCGGGTCACTAACTTTTTGTAAAAGGGGGTCGCCACTCGAAAAAGTTTGGGAACCACTGTTCTACTAGATCTATAGTCTAGTCTATACTACATAGTAGAATAATAGAAAAATAAATTTTATTTTTTAGGCTCCAAAAAGTATAGTTGTAGATCTTTAAGATGTAGTAATAAGTAAGGCCTTATGGTCATGGAGGTGGTCGGTGAATATTCTCTTACTCATCTTACTCTTTATAACTTTACTTTATACTTATACCCTACAAATGGAGGCAACCGAGTTGAGGAGAATCTTTCCATGATAATGATCATATTGTTGACATGAATTTAAAGTGTGCTAAAAATAGCCTAAAAATAATTTAGAAATTTAATATTTTTAGAATCAATATTATAAAAATTGCAAATCCAGAGAACTTGAAAATAATTTGAGCCTTAGCTATTCAGTGTTCTGGGACTAAACTCAGAACTTAACCTCTCATTATTTGAGCTAACTCTAATTTTTAATATCTATTAACTAAACTAGCTCTGAGTAATCAATGATTGATATGAAAAAAAAAAATTCTTATCCAACTGAATAAATTAACTATTTTGTTATAAAGACTTATGTTTCTTTTAGAACTATGGCAACCAGTAATCCTAAAGAGGAGGAAGAGTTTGATGTCAGTCCACGTTTTGAGCAAATAGTTCTGGCGCCTCACAAGCTTAGGTACATGAATCCAGCTTTTAAAAAAGTGAGTCATGTTTTTTCAGTAAATTTTTGTTGCTCATTTTTAAAAGTAAAGTAATTAAAGTTCCCTTTTTGAACCTGATAGTCCATGGGGCAAGTGAAGTAGAGTTTACCTGATTCTGTGACCTCAGCTTATGTAGGGATAGTGATGTCAGCACTATGCCCATCTGCCTTTACTTTCCCTAACTTGAGCTAAGTAACCATCCGATCTGGGCAGACTTAAACCTAAACCCTGGATAAAATATATTGCAGGTAGCCTAATAGTTGTTGAATGAAATATTTTAGGAATACAAATCTATTTAAAAGAATATTTTTCAAATACGTGCACGGTTTTACAACGTTTATTAATCTGTAGATCTAGATTTCATAAACTGTATTAACATTCTTGCAGTAAATTCATCACTATTAAGATATAATTTTTTTAAATGATTATACTCTCATAGGTAAATGCAAAAATGTATGACTACAAGTGTGATATAAAGCTAAGAGTTGGTGATGCCAACTTTAAAGCTCACAAAGAGGTAAAAACTAAAGCTGTTTATTTCACTCATGAAGCTTTTTTTTTAAAAGTAATATCTAATTTCCAAATGTTTACTGAAAACTAAATTTAGTAAAGCTTATTAATGCATCAAAATGATTATCACACTAAATGGATGTAAACGAACTTGTTGAACTTTTGATTGTCTTAATTGCAGCAGTTAAACAATATTAAATAATATTTTTAAGGCCGATTTTTTTTTTTTTTTTAATCCACAAACAGCTACATCTCATGTAATTTATTATCCAGGTCCTGTCCCAGGCTAGTGATTATTTTTCTGCCATGTTCAGCCATGACATGTTAGAGAAGGAACAAGATGTCATTGAACTTCTAGAAATGTCTCCAAATGGATTTGCCCTAATTTTAGATTATTTTTATCATGGTCATGTGACAATTGATCCTGAGACCATTGAAGATGTCCTGGAAGCTGCCAGATTTTTTCAGGTAAAATTAGACATTTAATTTAAGTTTATTTTAATTGGCCTTAAAAAATATCAGCAAAAGCTGTAAAATTTAATTTTAGATATCTTTTACTTTAATTAAATAGACTTGTCATAGATGTTTTATTTTAACAGCTTTTATGATGAGGTAGTGACTGACAATTGAAAATTATTTTTGGCATTCCAAACTTGATGCAGTGGATTCTTTTTTTTTAAACAATTCTATAATCCCTTAAGGTGAATTAGCTAAATATTTTTAATACTGGGTTATGATAACTGCTGTTTGATTCTCAGGTGAATACAGCATTGTTTTTTTCAGTTGGTCCAGTTAGGTATAGGTATGTTCAAGTTTAGATTCAAGGGCAGTGTAATTTATAATAGTAAGTATCTTCAAACGTTAAGATGTATCAATTATTTTTTGTTTTGTTGTTAGGCTGACTGGGTTGTTGAAGTGTGTTGCAACTATTTGATCCATCAACTCAGCATTGACAACTACCAGACAGTCCTGCAGCTGGCAGATAAATACATTCTAGGAGACTTGAGGGGAGACATTTTCCACTTTCTGGGTCTCAATGTCATGAAGCTAGCCGAGGAAGAAGATTTCTATCTCAATTTTGATTTTGAACTTTTGACCAAGTTTTTGAAGGAGGACCTCTACATTGATACTGAAGAAGAGTTTGTACTGGAGCTCATTACAAAGCAAGTATCTGTATTTTAAAATTCTTTTTATAGTGTTCACTCTGCCTAGATTTGTATTGGGTTTAGGATATTACCTCCACCCCAACATTACCCCTATCAATTACAACCCCCCCCCCCCCCCCATGCTGAATAACCCTAACCCCTACAAACCTAAAGCTAACCATAACCACATCAATCCTTACCCCCACTCTAAACCTACATATAGCAAACCCTAGCCCAAACTCTAAACCTACATCTGGCAAACCCTAACACTAGACCTAATCCTATTCCTAAATGGGTAGGGGGAGGGTAATGTCCTGCTTCCATTGATATATTATAACATTGGGCTGGGAAATGTTTGAAATACAAGCAGTTTAAATGTTTTCAAAGTTTAAAAAAAAAAATTCGAATCAAGCCCACCCATACCTTGTAGTTCACTACATAGTTTGTTCTCAAAATACTAAATGTTAACAAAATTATGACTGCTGATAGTTTAATGAAAGATAACTGTTACAGATGGGTTGGTGCAAAGAAAGAAGAAAGGAAAGAATACTTACTTCCCTTGCTTCGACTGGTTAGGTTCCCTTTAATGGACATTGACTCCTTGCTGGGCATCAACCACGATTTGTTGCAGTGGCCAGAAATACAGGATGCTGTAGAAGAGGCTAAACATTTCCACAATAACATTCCAGCTCAAACTTTATTTCAAGGTTGGTTGTGCTTGTCTTTCTGTACCACCTAACTGTTATGTTATAAGCCAAAAAGTGAGTATGTGATGTGTAAATTTAGGGGAACAACATGTTGGTTTGCAAACCCAAATATCTTGACTTGATTCCTGAGTTCAGTTCAATTGGACCTTCTGAGCCCATAGAAAATACAGCCCCTGATTCAAACCCCATCTTGTAGATTAAACAAAAACGAACTCAACATTAGCTACATCTTTTTACAGAAGTTATCAGGTCTGTAAGAGTACATAACAATTGTGTCATTACCTGTATATTTTATGTCCACAGGTGAGAGATTTAAATGCCGAGGATCCCATCCCAGTGTTGTCATGTTTACTTACCTACCTGAGTTGTGTTCAGTCACCTACCTGGAGATCAACTCAGGTATCAAGTGTAATGAAGAGCTAGCCAGCTTAGGCACAGAGACGGGATTTGATTCTTCAAGTATTGCCAAAGTAGGAAATTATTTGTACAGAACTGGAGGGTATGACGCAGATGTGTGCAGCAGTTCCGCTATGTACAGGTACAGTCCCAGGTACAGGAACTGGATTGAACTTGCCAGCATGAACCAGCCGAGGGTCTCTCATGCTATGTGTGTCTCCGAGGACAAAATTTTTGTGATTGGCGGTATTGATCATACTGTCGGGGAACTAGGAGATGAAGATATGATTTTGGCATCAGTAGAAATGTATGATATACAAGAAAACCAGTGGTCAAATTTACCCGACCTTCCGACCGGCTCATACAATCAGGCTGCTGCGTTTGATGGCAACTGTATATACCTAAGTGGAGGAATCAGCGCGGACCCATTTGACAGTGTCCCTATGCAGTCTTTGTGGCAGTTCAGCATGGAGACTAAGAGTTGGAGCACACTTAATGAAATGATGTACAGTCGACAGGGTCACTCTATGACACCGTACAATGGCAAACTGTATGTCTTTGGCGGGTATGCTCCAGCCATAGGTATGCCTGGCCACATTTTTAGGGACTGTTTCAATTCTGAGGTTTATGATATAGAGACAAACCAATGGACGGAAATCCGATCAATCCCAGAGACATTTGGTCATGTGATGAGGAGTGTTGGCTTGTGGGACGGAATGTTTTTTTTGTTCGGTAATGGTTGTCTCCACACTTACAATGCTGAAGAGGATAAAATGCAATATGGAGATCACTTTGGTCACTCTGTACAAAAAATAGCCATTTTAGATGTAGCATACCCTATGTAACAAATGCTATGCACTTTAAACTTTAGAAATTTTTTTAGACAATGTCATATAGTTAAACTATATACTTTCAAAACTCTTACAGAAAAAACTTCCAAAAACCATGCATTTTTTAAATAATTAATTTTTGTGTAATTAATACAAGTTTGGACAAAAAGATCCAATGAAATATAAAATTAAAAGAGCTCTTTTTGTTTTCTCAAATATCTCGCTGTTACTTAATTGGCTTTTTTTTCCTAAAGCTTATTACTTCTTCTGGAGCTTTTATTGTAGGCTTACTTCTAGAAAAAAGAGTAAAACATTTTAGAGCTGATTATGCACTTTTTAAACTTAACACTAATTTTTTATGCTTTATTTTACATTGTAGTAGCAGAGATTGTATTTGATGTTAACATATACTGGTGCTTAAACTTTGTATTGTATCCAATAAAGTAGAGCCATTGTCTTTCTTGCATTTTAGAAATGTTGGAGTTTCCTGCAGGGAGGAATAAGTTGTTAAAAGCTAAAAATAACCATTACTGACCAAGTCATGTAAATTATTTTCTCCTTTAGTACAATATATACACGTGTACAAATATAAACCTCTTTAATTTCTTAAAACATTAAAATTCTAGCATTCCTTTTTTAACGAAACATTCTCTTTCTATCTGTGATACTGGTAACTAAAACTTATATAACATTCTTTCTTAACTGTTGAATCAAACTTTCAAAGCCTACTTATTTGACCAGTTTAACTATTAAATTCTATCAAATTATATATATATATATATATATATATATATATATATATATATATATATATATATATATATATATATATATATATATATATATATATATATATATATATATATATATATATATATATATATATATATATATATATATATATATATATATATATATATACATATGGCCTTTTTTTATCATGGATAAAACAAACTGGGCATTAGTAAAATTGTTCATTTTCACTAGCAATTAATGTTTTCCTATGCACTGAAGTCAGTATGGGATACTCAGCTTTTCCATTGCCCAATCTGATCAAGATTCATGTGTGTGTTTGAAAAAAAAATGTGTTTACCATTTGTTATCAAGTTCAATTTTAAATGGCTTTTCTGAGGGAATCTCAAGTTGTGACTATAAAGCTTGTGACAACATTTTAACTTGGGCAATCTGTAGGTGCGGCTTGAAATATAATAACCTCTTTTTGTTCAATCAATGTTTTAATTTAATACTAATTGTTATCAGTAAAAATTTTGTTTAAACCATTTTACAAAGTTTTGTGAATATTTTATGTAACAGTGATAGACATGTTCTTTACTATTGTTTGATTATGATGGTGAGTATGCTGTCCTTATAAATTAAATAAATGTGTTCCTTGAAAAAATAATCATTTGTTAGGGGCTATCAAATGATCACCATACTAGGCTACATTTATGTTATGTCAAACTCTGTGTTAGCTCTGTCTGCTGCACCAACGATTCTTCATCTCTGGGTTGTGATATACTACTAAAAAGATCAAATATAATCCTGTTATTGACTAACTTTTTTCTATTATATGAATGTTGCCACCACATTCATTTTTACATAGTTTCTCCTTTTTTATGTTTGGTTTTTGTAAATTTTCTCTATTATTGTAGAATCAAATATTTTTTTAACTATTCTTTTTTAAACTGATTTTTAACTTGTTGAGTTAAATGCTTTTGCTGACTCTTGGTGCTGTCTTCCTTTTTATGAGGTGTTAAATGTATAAATTTCTGTGGTTGTTTTTGTTTTTACACTTTTTTTTTTTAAATGTTTGTGTCAGTTTATTTAAAAGATCATTTGTTTTAAACTATCATAAAATTTCCAATTTTTGTTACATTTATGAGTTTGAAAATGTGTGTATTGAATTTAAGATCTGCTTTGTGATAGATACCTGCTGCAGAAATCATTTTCTGCATTGCCAGATTTTTTAAACATTTATTTTACATAGCCATCTTCTCCACTTATATAAAAAAAGCACTTTTTAAAATTACATTTTTAAAAGTTGGAGTTTTACACAAACTTTAAAAGATGTTAATGTCTGTGTTTTTGCAAGTTAATAAATTGATTTGCAAAAAGTTGTCTTTATTTGCCATAATTACATAAAAGATGAGTTACTTGTAACATCAAATTTAAGATATTTAACTCCTTTTAAGAGATTATCTATATTTTATGCAATTTATTTCTGGCTCTTCAGGTGGTAAAAAAAAATTAAATTCTGGTATTATTACATTATTATTTAACTTAACTGATAATTTGATTTATCTTAACAGGTAATTTGACTTTATAATTCATTTTACGTAGGCCTATGTATTGATAGGTTTTATGTAAATCCACACTTACGTTTATTGTATTTTTTACAAGGTGCACATTTTTATTGTTTTTCAATCACATATTTTCTGATTGAGATATCTGAGGTTTTTTAAATAAATTATGAATTCTGAAAATTTGTTGGAAAGATTAATATTATTTTTTGCTAGTCTATGAACGGTAAAAAAAAAAATGTAAAATATGCTGTTATTATGCTAGTAAAAATACATGATTCTAAAATAAACAGTATTTAGTTTATATTTCCACTAAACATTCCAAATGCAGTATTTAAAATACTTTTTTGAAATCAGGCTGTATAATCTGCAATTATTTTTTGCTATAAGCTTGTGTGTACTGACAACTTACTTTCCATAGACATATATTGATGTAATGTAGAATTTAAAATTATTTATCATTCCTTTTATTCTTTCTTGTATTAATATAACTTAATTCTGCAATATTAAATTAAATTATATTAACCAATTATTTATGATACCAGTTATTAGTTACATGAAGATTATTATAATTGTCAAATGAGGTTTATTGCTTAGTTTTGTTTATGCTTTATTGTACTCAAACTGATTATTTATATATACAAATAATAAGACCACCAGCTTTATTCATTACTTATATTTAGAAGATTTTGGTTTTCATATACTGTTCTTACTTAACAAATGTTTTATCAGAAAGTAGAAAAAATATCTAGTAGTTTTTATTAAAGTGCTTCACACTCTGTTGAATCTGTTTATTTATTTATTCTAGCATAGATAGTTGTACTACTTGTATGGATTAATTATTGCCACTATTTACCACAAGATAGGAAAACATTATTGAATTATAAATTTACAAGCTGACCCGCAGCGTATCATACGCCGCTATTTCGTTGTTTTATTTTCTACTTTTCAGTAATTCATAATTTGTGAATTCGACAGTACCAATGCTGCCACTGAAAATATTTGCTTTATAACACTAACCCCCCCCCCCCCCTTTCCCCTAACCCCGACCCTCCCCCCCCCCCCCCCCCGTGAAAGCAGCCCCCTCTTAGTTATTTCTTAGTTACCTCCTGTAAGTTTAAAATCGAACTAAATTATCTGGCCCTAATAGAAACCCGGCTCTACGATTTGTAAACATTTAGCTTTGTAAACCTTTAGCGTGACAACAGCTCACCAGACAATGTGGGGGTGGGGTGGGGTGGGGGTGGTAGTGATAGTGAGAAAGAGAGGGGACTGCAAGGAGGCGCTTGCTGCTTGTTTTCTAACGGCTCCCAGAAGAGAATTATATATATAGATAAACGTAAAAGTAGGTAGCAACTTGTCAGTCAATTTATTTATGAAATAAATTTAGTAATAAAACAGCAATGACTACTTTAATGCCCATACTTGCACTTGCTCTCTATTTGAACTGGCTGAATCAACAACTGAATGAAGAATCAAGCATTTCTCACTCTCATATAGCCGCTGGTGGATGGAGGGGATAGGCTTTACTTAACTCTTGGTATTAGCAAGTCAGCACACTACTGCTAGACCATTTCATCCTTCTCCTGATATAATTGTATTCTTGAAAAGCAATGTTATTTTTTTAACTCATCACAATTCGCCTATACAGAAAACAAGCTAAAAAAACATCACAGATAAACCCTAACTTAAAAGACAGGCTGTGACAAGGTTGAAATCTGAATCACAAAAACATGTTTGCTATAGATACATCTCTAAAAATCAGAGAAATTTTCAAGTTATAAAATGTAACCTATAAAACCACCTTGTTCATATATTTGTACCAAATCCCGCCTTCTCCCCTGCATTTACTGGCATGTCACAATGAGACACAATCAGTTGACCAAGTATAAATTAGTATTTAGCTTATATGATTGTTAAAAGATCAATTAAATGATTGTGCTAAAATAGTAGGCCTATATTAAAATAAACTGTTCATAGATAAGGCTAAGGAGAGGCCACCAAATGCTGTGAAATAATCATTATTATTATAATGTCTTCTTTAGTGAGTATGCTGATGCAATTTTAGCTGAGGTAGTTATCTTTTGCCCTTGACGTTTGAAAGTGAAAACAAAAGTAACAATTTAATTTTATGTTGATAACATGTTTAAAGTGAAGTCATTTAATAAATAACTTTAAAACGAAATAGGATAACAAATATTAATATTCACTCGTTTCTGTTTGGTAATCTTACATTTTAAAGAGCAAAGAGTTGACAAGTTTGTTTACAAACATGGCGTCCAACAATAAAGAAAATACAAAATCTCTTAAGAGTTTTGTCTGTTCATTGTGTGATATCAGCTTTGATTATCATTATAAAGGCCGAAAACCTCCTTTCGCTAAGTGCATTTTGTAAGTAGTATTAGATCTATATTAATTACACATGCGTCCTTTTTAATATGAATTATTAATTAATGGACTGGACTCTGACTGGAGTAACTCGAGTCAGGGCGAGTACGACTACAAACTCAACTCAGTCTATCTATCAGTACTATTCAGTACTACTAGATCTAGATCTAGATTTCTAGATCTATTACCAGTCTATCACTATCACTACTAGATCTAGATAGTAGATAGATCTAGGCTATACTATCAGCTATCTAGATCTAGTATCTATCTTCTATGGCTCTATGCTATGTCTATGCCCTATGCCAATCTATAATTAATCTATGCCAATAATCTATGCTCATTGAGTCAGTCATTCATTATGCTGTTATCTAATACCTAAGTCAAGTAGATCTAGATCTAGATTCTAGAGATCTAGATCAAGATTCTAGAGATCTAACTTGAAAGTTAAATTTAATTTTAATACAAAAAAAATATTCATTTAGATCTTCTTCTAGGCTTTTTCACTTTTTGTCTTTCACTTTCTGAGGCTACCTACTTCTGCTACACTACTAGATCTAGAATCTAGATCTAGAATATAGTAGTAATAGAGTCTAGATCTACTACACTACACACACTACTAGAATCTATAGGTTTAAACATAAATTTCAAAGTTTGACTACTACTACTACTAGACCTAGTCTAGTACTACTTACTTAGCCTAATTTTAATGTTTATCTCCGAATTATAAATTATAGTATAGTATTTAGATCTAGGCCTATTGCCCACAATCACATTACAATTGAAAAAATAAAACACTAATAATTTTTTTTTTTAAATAAAATATAACACTTTTATGAATAATGGCAAAAATAGTTTGGACAACAGGTGGCCTACAACAAATGCCTAAGGTACAAAAGCATTTGATGGGTTCAAATCCACATTTCATTTTCTGGCACCTCACTCACATATTTTTCCACTCGACCAGACAGCTTCATCCTCAGCTTGGTGTTTTTAACATTATTTAAATGTATCAAAACAGTCACGACTGTTATATCTTTATATCTTTAGTCTTTATATGGCTATTCCCATTCGACTGGGAATAGACACTTCGTTTATTATATTTAGCTGCTACATATCAGTATCAGGTATGTAATTCCTGATGTTTCTAGCCATTTCATGTTTCTAAAAAAGACTATAGATGGCTCTTATTTAGTCAAGACCACCATTATACTTTGCTCCAATCTCCCAGTAAGTAGATCTATAAGTTCCACAATATTTGAAATTGTTTTAATTCAATTTTTAAAAAGGAGGAAAGCAATAGGCCTACTTAAGTACTTTTTCATTAAACTCCCTGTAGTTATACAATTATAAAATATTTTTTGTTACTAGATCTATGTTGAGAGGTGAACTTTTTAAATTTGTCTTTTTTCACATTTTTTGTTAGCTACCATAAATATTACTAAATTAAAACCAAGTTAATTATCCATAAACATCCAATCTGTGTACGAGTACTTTCTCCTTGATCTTGAAGATGATTCATTTGTAAACCAATACTTTCAAATTTAGTGGTTTATATAGTTTTCTGTAATAGTAATATAACTTACTCTACTTAAAAAAAGCTCATAGATAGACATCAAGACTTCTTTCACAACAGGTGTAGACAATGTGTGGGGGCCTGACATTTTAAAATTTTTGTGGACATATTTTCATTATATGTTTACTTTCCACAACTGCCAGACTACTAGAAGATTGCTTTGTACTAAAAGATCCATTTTCAACCTCTGGTGGGTTTATAAATGTTGGAGGAATGTGTTCATTGTGTGGGAAAAATGTATGCTTGTCAAATGTAAGTAGATGTTTTTTTTTTATAAAAATAGATACTATTAATTATGTTTGTCATTTGGCTAAACTAATAGTGGCAGAAAATAAAAATATCAAATCTCGATGAGTTAACTTTTGAAAGATATTACATTTGAACTCAAATTTGCAGGTCTTACTAGTATTGATCATGTTGATTTATTTCAAAAAGAAATTAGGCTAAGTTTTTAAATCTTTTTTTTTTAAATCAGAAGTGATCTTTGGTAAATTACATTTTTAATAATAAAACAGAATAAGCAAGTGGGGTTATAGTGTAGGATGCAAGCTTGCTAATCCAAAAGTTCCAAATCAAACTGCTTTCATATCCAAACCAGGTTATAAAATACATAAAGGAAGGAAGCAAAATCCTGGCAAAACCCGTTAGTCTGAAAGCTGGAAACATGGGCTAATCAGTATTGTTAAACGACTGTTTATAAGAGACAGATACCTAAATGAGTTTTTAAAAGTATTGCTTTAGTACTCTCACTGTAGATTACATTGCAGATAGTCTCCTTGATATGAACATAAATTGCAATGTAAATAGATGTACTTTTGAAAAAAAAATTCTCTCTACAGGAATGCAGTTTATTTTATGTTCAAAGATTTTGTTTGAATTGTGCACATATTAATTTGCAAGAATTTCCTATGGAACTTCAACGGGTAAAACTTTTTAGTTCCATGTATTTTTTTTTTACCTGATGACCTAATTCTTATACTTAAGAACATATTGGAGATTGTAACTTGTAAAAAATTTTCAAATAAAAAAAATCCTATTCAATTATGTGTATTGCTTTATCTTGCAGGAAATAACTGAAAAGATGAAAGCGAAGGACAATGGCTAATCAGCTTGTTAAACTCAAACAATGAATCAGGGAGTCTGATACAAAACTCGTATGGTAGCATCAACCATTGATAAATCAATTTTCACATTACCCTGTGTGACATTACCAACTTGACCAGTCTTTCATAAAATGAGTTGCCAGTTGCACTAGTTTACTGATGAAGCATACTTTAGAGGAATTATGCTTAATGAATGTAAAATTTTGAACAGCAATATGCAAAATATGTTGGAAACTCTTCATTCCACACATACATAATTGAATAAACAAATGTGCTGAAAGAACTTTATTTTTGTTGCATCATGTTTCATCAATTCATAGTGAAAGTATGTTAAATCAATAATTGGTCAGAGCTGCAGTTGCTACTTTTCTCCAATAAATAATAGAAGTATATTATACCCTGGAGGGTTTTTTGTGCTATGGAAATGTAGCTTACTTTCACTAAAAAAAACAATTTTTCCAAGGAACTACCAAAAAATGTTCTATGCCCATTAATTTATTTAAAAAAAAAACAAAGATAGGAGACAACTGATTCAAGATTAATATTCATGTAAATAAAGTTTGTTTCATAAAGGGAAGACAAAAATTATATCAGAACATGACATATGATACTATGATTATATATAATGAGTCTTCTGGTGTTTGACAACTAAAGCAAATGACAGATTTACCTCTAAGACACAATGTGACTATTTCACTACAGACAAGTGTGCAGCATAGAGAATGTATCAATAATGAGCTTTCATGCACATCTGTTGGATGGTTGTATTTACAATATTTACAAGTTAATGGGAGATTTTTCATTCAATGAGTGTGTGCAGGCATTCTTGTCCTTGATATGCGAAATTTAGACAAACATTACTTATGCGCAATTTCAATGCATAATCATTACCATATTGTAAGTCATGCTAAATTAATTTAGAAACAAGTATTTGTTTTACAGAGGGAAAAAAATCTATTACAAAACCAATTATCTTACAAATTAAAATCATTTAAGTGGAAAAGTATGACAGCCCTACTTCACACTAAATGAAAACAATAAATACTAACTAACAACAATTTAATTTTACAAATAAAATTGAATAAAATAATTTACATACAATGAAAATCCCTGAAAAATGTTTGCAAATATTCCATTTATTCTATTTTAAAATACCATATAATGAAATAACTTTTAAGTAAGCTGTAAATTCAATTAGCTAGCCCTACAAATTGTTTAAAATATATTAACATATTCTTTATTTTTAAGATTATTAGATGAATATAACATTTAGGAAAAAAAATTCCAAATTAAAGATGCTGCCTTTGCACAATTTGACAGTTATTAAAGGAAAATAGACTATTTTATGAGGTTCAAGTAAAGAGAATTTTTTTTAAACTTGGGTAAGTTTTTTAAATAAATGGTAGCTCATTATAGTTATTGTAACTGTGTATGAAGTACATTATCAGGGGTCATTTTTGTTATTTTTTGTTTTGTTTTCATCAAAGAGTTATAAAATACATTAACAATAAAAATCTTACAGGCTATAAATTGTTGTGGCACATCATATATACCCAAAAATGTTTTCTTATTTCTAGCCTACAAAAAGAATCAACATGGTGATTTATGTTTACGACAACAGGCACTTATTCACAACTTTCTTATATAAAACCCTCCAATTAAACCTTTTTGTATTTTGAAACTGACAAGAAATCCTAATATTTGTCTATTTTAAACATTTATAGAGATAAAACAGAACATTAAATACAGTTTAAAATTCAGTAAACAAGAGAAAACATCACAAAGAAGTTGTGCAAACAGTGTATGTCTAATGTATATAAGCCTCAATAACAGTTTTCAGCTAGTCACCATGAACAGAGCCGAATTTCTACAACCATAAAGTAAAACTACCTGAAGCAATAAAAGCCATTAAACATAACTTATCAAACACTTTTCAAAGATAACACCATATTCATATAATTATAATGTAAAATGCAGAAATTATATTTAAATATAAGTAAAATGTATTTTAAAACAAAGATTATCATGCATTTTGTACAACACCAATTCTTATTAACAGACAGACATTCATGTAAAACAGTGAAAGGAGATCACATTTGGACTAACAAAAAATGAGAAACTGATCTTCATACATAAACAAGAACATTTGGGACAAAAATATATTTGTAGTCTAGTAGATGCATTATGGGTCAGTAGAATTAACACATCTCTAACATTGGGATCATACATTTAAACACAACAAATATCCACCATAACTAAAACCAGCTTAAGCAATAAAAATATTTATGGGGGAAGCAAGTATGTTTGTTCTTTGTGTAAATTTCCTGTTTGTATATTAGTGTGATAAGGGCGTTAGTTGTAACATCAAACTCTGCCCTATTTAGATCACCAGCATCAAGTTCCAGATGAATTATATCAGCATAATTGTAATGCAATTTTTATAAACCGTTGCCTCAACTTTTTTTTGTCAAAACTGGATAATGAAGAATTGAAATCTTGAGACAACAACCCCCCAATAATGCTACCACCATTAAGTCATTTCTTAAAAACACAACAAAAACTCCAAGGAAATATGAATTACGTTGCACCTGTATCCCTGGAAGAGTCATCCGTTAGATCTGGGGCAGTAATTGAATTTGTATCACTGGCATCTGAACTTAAATGGCTGTCAGAGGGTCTAGGATCTGGCTTGGGTTGATAGTCTGTCACTACAACAGTAACATTTCCAACTGTGACTGACAGGTGAGATGGACGGCTTCTATCAACATTTTTCAATCTTGGAATACTGAAAATAATGACAAAACAAAACCATGTACGGTTAACTGTGTAAAGAAGACAAAAGATTAAAATATTGCTCAATATAGGATAATACTAATAACTGAGAGAGAGACTTACTTACCGATTTGAATCTGAATTACTATCGCTACCCTTCTCTTTTCGAGAAGAGTGTGACTTTTCTTTTTTTGGAGGTGGTACAAACTGTTGAGCCTTTTGCAATGCTACCAACTGAGGATTTATTCTTGGCTTTCTGTAAATAAAAGAAAATATTAATTTTATTAACAGCAAACATAAATAATAAAGAAGAGATAACACTTTTGACAAACCTGATGGCTAATCAGACTCTAATAACGGGATGAGAATTCAGATATTTGTCTTAAGGAGTCAATAAAGTCATATACTCAGCAAATATTTAGAAACTCGTGGCGTCCTTTAAAATTAATAATACTTTTAAAGGTTATAATGTTTTTTACAACTTTAATATTAAATTACTCTTATATCTATAAAATATCTAAATACTAAAAAGTATTCACATCAACCAGCTTTTAAATAAACAAAACAAAGGGGAAAAAACCTGAATTTTATTTTGTTATAATAGACTGGTAAACTAATGCTTTTACTTCTACTATTTTAACTAAAGAAATTTTAAGCTTATTATTTTTATTTTTGTGTATTAAAAGCTTATTGTTAATAAACAATCAATACTTTTCAAATAGTTTTTTAACATTAACTGCATTTGTTAAAATATATTGTATAACCTTGTAGATGTTCCTTTTCTAACATCACACATTTCACATTTATATGCCTCTGGTGAATTTTTGAAAGTGCACACACTGCAATCCCATGATCCCTCATCAAGAACTTTTGCTTGTCTTTTTGCCCTATGGATATTCAATAAAACTTGAAACAATTTTAAAAGTACATGTTCCTATTTATTGTATAAATTATGAATACAAAACTTGAATCATTAACATATCCGAACATTGGCTTGAATCAAATCAATGGACAGACCTTAACATTTACTCACTATTGTCAAACTTAACATAAAGCAATGCTATAAAATAAAAAATTGAAGTAACTAGTTTTAGTCAGCAAGTAAACCATTCTATTAGCAACTTTTAAGTAGAGCATTCGACTCAAAAATCATAAGTTCAAATTCAGTGGAACATCACTGAGTCCACCCAGCTCTGATAGGCAAACTGATGACCACATTATCCCTTCATTTGCCACGTTCACAGAAACAGGTGAAGTCTACTTCACTTGCCCCATGGATCGTCAAGTTCAAACAGGAAATTTAATAAAAATTATTACAACCAAGTCCATTGCAAAGTAAATACATTTCTTGATAACTAATGAAATATTTGAGTAAGAAATTCTGTAATTTATAATGCTAATTGCAATCTATGTATGGAAGAAGAGAGTATGATTGCTCATTCTAAAGTCCCAAGTTCGAACCACTGGGCAGATTGGGATTGCAACCCATCTTGGAGAAAAACTCCAAAATCAAACAACCGCTACATGGCAGGTTGTTTTTGCTTGGAAACCTCACAAGCAAATCAAGAGAGAAAAGTAGGCTAAGTCAGATTTGACAGTAAACCCTGTATTGTATTGGAGGAAATTCCCTTCAATTTTAGTTAGGGCTAAATTAAAAATGAGGAATATGAAAAACTAACACTTGAAACAAGTAGCAACAAACATCTAATTTAAGTTAACTATGCTTGATGGAGTCTGAGTCAGGTGGTAGGTCAACACGAGTTCATGGGGAAAAAATACCAGATCTGCAGTACGCCACATGGGTGGGTTTAGTGCGAAGATGCTCCTGACCAATTGCCAAAAGGTACGGAAATTCTAAAGATACATTTTAAAAGATAAATGGACGGCTAAATTGCAGTTATCAAATTATCAGCGTAAGTTTAAATACTGATATTTTATAAGAATAAAGATCTAGCTGTCTTTTCTAAATCTAGCTCAGCTTTCACATAAATCGCATCCGGTCGCAATAATTTTTATATCAGCTTGTTGGCCATTCAACAATCTATCACGTGTTACCAGTATGTTATTGTGTGAATGCTATTTTTAGCAACAGTGCAGAGACACGTTGAAAAAAACGAAGTAAAAAGTGGTCATAAAAAAGTGGGTCAGGGGAGGTAATTCAACTTGCGTTATGAGACTAGCTACAGTAATGAAAGTTTGAAACATTTTTGTAACTTTCAAAACATAAATTTCCTAAAAATGTGAAATAATTTTTTAAAATTTAATGAGTCACCTTTTTTTCACATTACTAGTCTCAGCCGATTTTATGTATCTACAACAATAAATTACTGCCTATCTATTTTAAAAGTATAAAGACTCATAAAAGACCAATATCGACTACTTTCGAGAATATTCTTGTTGGTGTCCATTGATTGTGGAAACAGAGAATGAGTAGTGACAGGTCACAGTGTATGTGCCTGTAATCAACTGTAATCACTGTAGAAATCTAGATCTCTAGTAATGTTGAGCAGTTGTGTGAGTTATTCCAATTTTTCTGGCTCACACTATACAACTGATAGACTATCTACTGGCACTGTGACTGTGTGACCTGTGTCTGATCACATCACTTCTGCTTCATCACTTCTTTAACTTTAACTTCTTAAATTCACAAATCATTTTTTTTCTTTTAATATAAAAAAATAACAGGACAAGGATAGGATGTGCTAACCTTCCAGAGGACCGCTTCTCTTCCATTTTAAAAATTATATCAGTAGCTTCTACCTAGATTTTTAAATCTAGACCTAGATCTACTGATTTAATGCAAACCACAACACTTTCGTGCCTACCAAGTTAGGTTTTTTTAATTTCTACAGCCGAAAATAAAATGGATGTCAATATGGTCACGTGACTATACTTCTAGAAATAATTAAAAACTGTATCATAAGAACTATAAATTTGTGAAACAATATTTACTTCAACGCATGTATGCTGCAGCAGTCTGTTTACCCACAAAAAAGGGAATATTAAAAATGTTGTTGATCTTAAACAAAATAATAGAGAAGAATTTAAATTTTTAAAAAGATGTTTGGTGCTGGAGTAGTAAAAAAAATTAACGCCTGTTTATTGACGCTGAATTCTGGATCTAAGCATAAATAATAAATACGAGCCGACCCGCGGTGTATCATACGCCGCTATTTAGTTGTTTTATTTTCTACTTTTCAGTAATTCATAATTTGTGAATTCGACAGTACCAATGCTACCACTGAAAATATTTGCTTTAAACACTATCAGTAGGTCGTTACGGACGATACTACCCCCACCCTCCTTTCCCCCAACCCCAACCCTACCCCCCCCCCCCCCACCCCGTGAAAGCAGCCTCCTCTTAGTTTCCTCCCCTAAGTTTAAAATCGTTTCACAACTAAATTATCTGCCCCTAATAGCCGTCACTAAACCCGGCTCTACGATTAATGTAAACATTTAGCGTGAACTACAGCTTACCAGACCATGTAGGGGTGGGGTGATAGGGAGCGCGCTTACAGCTTGTTTTCTAGCGTCTCCCAGAGGAGAATTATATATATAGATACCTATAAGCATAAATATATAAGCATATATATATATATATATATATTTTAATAACATAATAACAGTAGGGTAGAAAAATCAAATTAATTTAACTCTTTTCTAATTTTGACAAAGGAGGTAATTTAAAAATACATTAAACTCACGCTAATAAAAATGTGAATGCAAATATACGTTCGTCATAGAAGGAATTAGTGTTGCAATAATATAATTAGCAAAATGTGAATGCAAATTATTCGGATGTGTAAGAGGAAATTATTGTTAGAAATATATAAATAGCATGGATTGATAAAAGGCAATCTTTTATTTATTTTATTCACTGAATGTAGGCCCTACTTTTTATTGCTTATAATTTTTAATCAACTATTCAGCACTATTATAGACGCGTCATCACGTTCATTAGGTGCGCAATGGTTTTAGTTATGAAACTCTATTGTAAATTTTTAAAATTTAAAGTGCTGGAAATAAATTGCGTGAATGGATAAAGTGAAATCTAATATATAAAGCTCAGTTCTGTAACGTGTGGCAAAAAAAAAAAAGTTTGTCGTTGACACTTCTATGGATTTAAGTGTTAGATTTTTTATCGTGCTCATAGTCTAAATTTACGAGTCAAAAAATTACCATTGAAAGTCTTTAAAAAGAATTTTCATTCTATTTACTTATAAGAATAATTTTCAATTAAGAGTACGACATAAAATTTTTAAAAAGTGTATCGACGTTTATAAAATTTCTAAAATTGTGTCGGAAATGTATTGACTGCACAGTTACTTCCCTTTAATAAAAAAAATTCTTAAGAAGAAAGAATTTACATTTTATTACTTTGTTTTTGGTGTTAAGAAAAAAAAATAATTACACAATTAGCGGGGATTGATTAAGTGCAATGTCGTTAGGTATTTTTAACACTGCCTTTTATTTATTCTATACACTGAACATACTGTTCAATAATTATTATTTTTTTAAAAATCAATAACATTTAATAAGCCAGGTCCTACAAATCATTTACGTTTATTTCTTTCCATTTACGGATAAGCTTGGAGTATTATCTTTTTGTTCACTAAATTGAAACAGGCGCGTCCGCCGGCGCCCCTGCACGGTTTGATTTGGCACCCTGGGCTATCATGTGAGCCATATGCTGCACATGTGAGCGCTATGCTGCATAATTTTGTTTTGAACAGTGCGATAGACTATGGATAAGAAAGGTTACTATAGTCTTTAAGTGAATCAAATCCGGGCGTCCTCCGGCACCCCGACAGGGTGCTATTTGGCGCCCCGGGCCTTCCGGTGTACACTATGGTATCTACGTTCGCGTGAGTTCAAAAGACTATGAATAAGTTATGCACTATAGGCGTTTACTAAGTTCAATCAGGCGGTGACGTCATGGTGCGTCCTCTGGCGCCCAGACAGGGTGCTTTTTGGGGTCCCGGGCCTCCCGTGTTCGGTTTCGCGCCTACGTTCATTAAAGTGAGTGCAAAAGACTATGAATAAGTTGGGGTACTATAGTCGTTTATTAAGTTGAAGCAGGCGATTCAGCCCCGTGAGCACTTTGCGTTTATATTCGCGTTAGTGTTTTCTTTGTGTTTAGGTTGGGTTTGCGTTAGTGGTTGCGTTTTGATTTGGTTCGTTTTTGTTCTTTCTTTTTTCGTTTTCGTTTGTGTTTTATTTTCATTGGGTTTGTGTTTGTGTTTGTGTTTGAGGTTGGTTTTGCGTTTGGATTTGGTTTGTTTTCGTTTGTTTTTTCTTTTGTGTTTTTTTCTTTGGGTTTGTGGTTGGTTTTGCGTTTGGATTTGGTTTGTTTTCGTTTGCTTTTTCGTTTGTGTTTTTTTCTTTGGGTTTGTGTTTGTGTTTGTGGTTGGTTTTGTGTTTGGATTTGGTTTGTTTTCGTTTGCTTTTTTCTTTGTGTTCGTATTGGTGTTTGTGGTTGTGGTTGGTTTGTTGTAAGTTTTTGTTTTCGTTTGTATTTGTAATTGTGTTAGCGTTATGTTTGCGTTTTGTTGTTTTGGTTTTGGTTGGTTGTGGTTTGGGTGGGCAATGCCGGGTTTATGATGATTACTAAACACACAGGTAATGGTCTTTAACAGAAAGGTTTTTCACAGAAGCCAGAGCAGGGCATGGCCGGGACGGCTAGTATTGTATATATTATAGATACTGCCTATTATTTATACTGTTTTCTAATTATTATTCTATCTTTCGGGTTTTATAGGAGAGGCATAGCGAAGGGGGGGGGGGGCATATGTCCCCGGGTGCCGACCTTAGGGGGCGCCAAAGTGGGTTGGAAAAAATTTGCGAGGGGGGGGGGGAGTGGTGGAAATCGAAAGTTTTTGGGCGGGGGGGGGGGGGGGGAGGGGTGCAAATCGAAAGTTTGAGGGGGGTGCAAATCACCGGAAAGGGCGCGATTTGGCGCTACGGGCTAGACTGTGAGCAATATGCCTTTATGATTGCATTTAAATTGTGTTTATGTTATGAGTGTTGTGTTTGTTTTTTCGTTTTTTTTTTTTTTTTTTTTTTTTTTTTTTTTGCGTTCGTTTATGTTGTGTTTAGTTTTGTTCTGTTGGTACATTTAAAAAAGATTTACCGTGGCGGAGCACGGGATGCAGATAGTATATATATACAGTGGCGTAGCGAGGTCGGGTGTCACCCGGTGCGGCACTTAATGGTGTCACCCCCCCCAGAGGCGTTGCGACCCTTCCCGTGGACAAACTTTCAAATTTTCGATTTGCACCCCCCCCCTCAAGTTTTCGATTTGCACCCCCCCCCCCTCAAGTTTTTCTCTCTATATTTTGCTATTTTTTGCCTTGGTGTCACCCCCCTAAATGTCACCCGGTGCGGTCCGCACCCCCCGCCCCCCCTTCGCTACGCCCCTGTATATATATATATATATATATATATATATATATATATATATATATATATATATATATATATATATATATATATATATATATATATATACCAAAATCTAGATTAGAATAGAATCATATTAGAATATAGCCCCCTCCTACCCCATCCGCCTAAAAAAATGTATAAATAAGAGATATAAATACACCTAGATGGTTTTGTTTAATATTATAGACGTTATTCCCCTTTGTCCAGCGATCATTGAATAAAAAGGAAATTTTGTCTTATCTAAGTGGTTTGCGTAAAGAGTTTCTTTCATACAATTCTTCGGGTAGGGGCGAAGCCCCACCCCCGCGTAAGAACGTCTGAGCCCCCCCCCCCTCCTCCCTAACTCAAAAGAAATTTCTTCATCGATACTCTATAATAAAATTACCGCCTAATTAATGTGTCTAATCTAAAAAGTGGTTTTCTCGCAATTTCTTTAATGCAATTCTTCGCGTAGTGGCTAAGCGCAACACCAGTGTTTCTTTCAGACTTTTTCCTCCCCGGAGAGGGGTGGGGGTACTTGAAATTTTCGGGGGCGGGGGTAGAATTTTCTGGGAGGGGGCGGACACTGGAAAAAGTATATAATTATATTTCGTTGAATGGGACGGTAGACATGTTTTTTTTTGGGGGGGGGGGGGGGGGGGTGGGGGTGGGGGGGTGGGGTGGGGGCGGTGTGTGTGGGGGGGTGTGGGGGGGTGGAGGGTGGTGTGTGGGGGGTGTTGGTGGTGGGGGTAGGGGGTGGTGTGTGTGGGGGGGGGTGGGTTGGTTTTAGTTTAGAGAAAAGAGACAGCACTATCAGCCTAGCGCCCGGTGTATCCTTCCTCAACGGGCCATTTTTCTCGTATATAATATTAATACTAGCCGTCCCGGCCAGGCCCTGCATTGGCCTCTGTGAAAACCCTATCAGTAAAGCAACATGACTTGTGTGTTTATTAAGCAGCATGTACTCGGCATAGACGTTTGACAAAAGAACACATAATTAGCCCTAAACCCAACTCGAACTTTAAATTTAACACTAACCACAACCAACCAAAAACAAAACACACAAAAAACAAGCCCAAACATAACACAAACACAAAAGCAAACAAATTAAAACTAAAACACAAACACAAAAAAAAACACAATCACAATCACAAAAGCAAAAGCAAACAGAAACAAAAACGCAAGCACAAACATATACGTAAACACCAAAGGAACCACCTGATTCAACTTAGGAAATGCTTATAAATGCGTTTAAAACAAACGTAGTTGCCATAGCGCTCACGGGAATGCTAATTATATAATTATTTTTTCCAACACCAAACCAAACTAATAAAAAGTATTTTTTTCACCTGATGTAAAGTTATTTTAAAGGGAATTTTTTTTTATCTATCAAAGGAAGTAATTAGCAATAAAGGAACAAAGTGAAGTCATTTGTACACTTTTTAAATTTTTGTGAAGGATGATATATTTTTTTTTAATTTGTTTATTCCACAATGACATTAATTCAGGAATCAAACGGTAGGCCTACGTTTGAAAAAAATGCATTTTTTTACAAAACCATCCATGTTAATTTTCTTTAATTAGTCATTTCGATAATAACTGCCTTAAGAATATTACACTGGCGATCAATGAGTTTTTTAGTATATGCCTCTTTTGCCAAAGGTCTGTCCGCTGTCACATACAGAAACTCAGAATCCGTTTGAGCTTTATATATATATACATATATATATATATATATATATATATATATATATATATATATATATATATATATATATATATATATATATATATATATATATATATATATATATGAAATTATGTGAGTTTTTGTGTTTGTTTGACCTTTACGCATTACAATAATTGTATCGAGGTTTCTGCAGGAAAAAAAATTCTCAGAGTGTGATGCGAATTTTCTCTATATACGGTACATAAAAATAAATTGCGGATAAATGTTCATCCAAGTACCATGAAACTTTGGGGAGTTGATGAGAATATTCCTGGGAAGGTCAGATGCGTTTTTGCGTCCTGAAGTCCAAGTTGCTATCATAGGACTTGGTATCCGTTTTGGACGTCTGGTATAGGTGGTCAGGGATACTACTTGATTAGACGGTAAAACTGCACCAGGCGCATCCGCCGGCGCCCAGGCGGTGGAGTGACCCGTAGCGTCTCGGGCTCGCCATAGGCACTATGGCGCCTACGTTCGTTTTAAAGAGTGCAATACAGTATGGATATGATGGGATTCTAAAATCAAATGACGCGATGTGCGTTTGTTTTTACATTATTCAATCAGAAGATTGGAAAGTAATTTTTCTATATAGACATCTAGTGATACTGTAACCGCGTATAAAATCGGAATGAAGATTTTTACAAATCTCGACGTTTTACACCTCCCTGCGTCGGAAAAAAACTTAGTTTTCCAATACTCTCTATGTGCGCGTATGCCTGTGTCTATGAACACGACATCTTGATTACCGTTTCAGTTGGGTGACGAAATTTGATATATAAGCATTCCACTAAATTTGTAGTTTTCTTTCAAATATTGAGCCATTTACAATACAGATTATTTTGTCCAGATTATTTTTCTCACCTTACATCCACTTGACAAGCGTACACAATTCGATGTCTTTTTTTTTTCTTTTAGCGCTGACAATATAAATTAATTTGTTAAACTTAAGTGCTAAATTTTACCATTTAACAAAGAAAAAAATCTAGTTTCCTTTTACATTTTTTAATAGTCACCAGTTAAAGCACTACTTTCAGTTATGTAAATAAGGGTACATGTTTTTTTAAACAGACTAATTTGCTTTATTTTTTTTTTTCTAACACGACAAAAACCCAGCACCACGACAACATTTTCCGGGAGGGGCGGACAACATTTTCCGAGGGGGGGGGGGGGGGGGGGAAGCGGTAGACTTTCTTCGGAGGGGGGGGGGGAATACCCCCCACCCACCCACCCACGAAGAGATGACTATAGGAAACTCTGACTGTGTTACTGTCATGTACACTTGTTTTGCGATATAATTTGTAAACTAACAATCGATTGCTTAGGCCTACATATATGAAAAGATAAAAGAACAACCATAAGCACAAAAATGTTATTTATTAATGTCTATTTTTTTCCAATTTATGTTTAACTCTAATGATAGGAGAACTATAGATATGCCTAGTTAATTTTCTCCGGTAATGGGGGTGGGTGGGGGTGGTAGACTTTCTTCGGAAAGATGCCTGGAAAAAATTCTGGTTGGGTATCATCTATCCCACCATTAATAATTCCCATGGTAGATTTGACTATTGTAAGAAGTTCACAGGCATGATATTCCCAAGGGACATGGTGTCAAATGTTACTTATGAACTGTTAAAATTACAAGATATTTGCAGTCTTTAAACTTAATTTACAAAAAAAAAAAGCGTAGCATCCACATATTTAAAAATATATAGATAAGGTCGTGTGGCGTCAAAACGGCCAATGACAAAGCGGCCCCGTCAAAACTGCCCCGTTAATATGACCCCGTCAAATCGACCCCCGTCAAATCGACCCCGTCAAAAGGGCCATCGACATATGGGCTCCGGCATATAGGCTGCCGACAAATAAGTCGGGGTCCTTTTGACGGGGCTATTTTGACGGGGTCGCTTTGTCGGGGGTCGATTTGACGGGGTCATATTAACGGGGCAGTTTTGACGGGGCCGATTTGTCCCGGGCCGTTTTGGAGGTTCACCAGATAGGTCCTATCTGGGAAAAAAAAACGATAGAACGAAAAAATTAACCCTCTATAGATCTATACTCATTTTGAAACCCCCTCCTAAGAGTATGACCGATTCCCAGCTAGGCCTACGCCATTATTTCTTAGAAAAACTTACTGGAATGTAACTTAGTTCTAGATCCAGATGTAGATCTAGATCTATTAAGCAATTAAAGTAGCTCAAGTGGATTGAGTCTCCCTAAATTCCATGCATATTTTTTTTTTACTTTTCGTGTTAAAAATAGGCCCAAAGGTCGAATGAAGTGAGACAACACTTGACAAATTTGCATCCGATGATAAAGTATTTCCTTGTTACTTAAATAAACTCAGATAACATTTTAAATCATTACTGCGACGGTGCGCTACTAGTGTGGATTAAGGGGTCAAACTGCAAAGATAGACTTAGGTAGGCGAATAAACATCGGTCACGCGGCTTGCCAAAATGGATCTACACTTTAAAAAAGGTAAAAAGTATGTCGTGTTAAAATTTAATTTTCTTGATTATTTATAGATTAATGAAATATTTATGCTTATTTGAAACAAATTTGACAATTAACATTAAATGAATTAGATCTCTACTATTATATATATACTTTTGTTAATAATTTGATATGATAGTTTGTTACAAATGAAAATAAATATAAACTGGCAAGCAACACACTGGACGGTGGTAACACGGCCTCGGATAAGATTAGCATAGACTAGAATCTAGATCTCTAGATCTTTACTATTTATTATTCGTGATGGAAAAATGGCATAATATTTCATATTAAAATTTAAGCCGAGGTCCACATTGCAACATCTACATTCTAGATAGATCACCATCGAGTCTATAACCACTATAATAATAGGCCAGGCTAATACATTTTCACCCAAGACAAAGATCTACAAACTGTTTTCGACGCTGTAAACCAAAATTATAATTTTCAATTTTATTTAATGCTGACTTCTAGACTCTAGATACTAGATCTAGATAGAATCTAGATTTTAGATATATAGATCTAGATTTTCTAGATCTAGACCTAGTATAGAATCTAATAATTGTAAAATATTTGAAAAATTCCGTCTAGTCTAGAGTACTAGAATAAGAGATCTAGAATCTAGATATATCTAGATCTAGATTTCTAGATCCAAGTAAGATTCTATCTAGAAATCTAGATCTAGATCTACTTTTATCTAGATTCTAGATCTATTCTTTATTGATCTAGAGATCTAGATCTAGAATAGAATCTAGATTCTGCTCTAGAGAATCTACTAGATCTAGATCTAGCAGTAGATCTAGATAATTTGTTTGTGTGTAGTGTGTGTGTGTAGAAATAAGAATACTGAATAGTCATAGATCTCCAGATCTAGATCTAGACTAGATCTAGATCTAGTATTCTCTAGATCTAGATCTACTAAATTAAACTAAATTTCACTAGAGCCTTAACTAATTAATTATTATAATTATTATGCTAAGTGCTGAAGTACTTAGTCTACTAGCAACTAGGACTCTAGGATACTACTACTACTACTATAATAATATTTTTGTAATATACATACTGGACTAGACTAGGTTTAAAATTAAAAGTTTAGTTTAATTATTAATAATTAGGCCTAAGTAAGTAAGATCTAGATCTACATCTAGATTCTAGACACTCCAGATCTAGATCTAGTAGTAGAGTAGTAGACTAATCTAGAGTTATACAATATACTCATCAGTAGGCCTATAGTACAGTAAATAGTATTAGTAGACTATTTTCTTTAGACCACTCTTTAGTTCTTTGCAAAAATCCTTATCTTTTAAAATACATTAAACATTATGATTTGTGTTAGTTAACTCTTAGTCACCACACTTTTTTTACTGTTTATTGAAACATTTCAGGCTGACTACATTTTGCCTATTGTACAGTCAGATTTTGTTTTAGAAAGAAATTCACCACCGCAAAACACCCAATATGAAGCTGTCTCTTAAATTTACTCGAAGAGAGTCACACAAAGCTGCTGTGTTTACTTTAACATTTTTCAGGTGGGGATTAATTTTATTATAAACTTTATCAGGTGGAAGTGTTGATCTTATTTCCATTTATTAATAATAGTTTTAACAAAATATATTTTCTGCCCACAGTTATGCATTTTTCCATGCTAATAGAAAGGCATTCAGCAATGTCAAGAGTTCAACTGCTAGTGTATGGACTCCAGAACCCAGAAATGAGTCACTTCCTAAATTGTTACCTGAAAAGGTATGTAATATTATGCAATTATCAAATAGAGATTCTTAAATTAGATTCTGTGTTATAATTAAATTTCTATTCACTTTTTAATACAGTAAAAAAATGTAATGGTCTACATTTATTTCAAAATAAATATTAACATTAAAACAACTATTGGATTTGCACTTGATTCTTCATCAGTATCTTAAAAAAATAAATCAAGTATACAACTAAGCTGTAGGCCTATACGTCACTTTAATTTAAGGTTTTGCTAAAGTATAAAATCAGTTTATCATTCTTTGATATATTAATACAGGCTGAAAAATTTGTCATTGCTTTAATCAGATTTAATAGCCATAATTTGTAATTGAATTTAAACTATTTAAACTTATTTTAAAATCCTACTGAAGATATGGTCCTCTCACCATTTATTTGAAACAAGCGATGATGCCATGAAATTTGAAGGTGTACTGGACACAGCTTTTATGTTAGCATACGCAGTTGTAAGTTGTTGAGTTTTAAACATTATATTGTATAGTTGTCTGTTTTGCTTTTTGATGTAGATTTAAAAACCAAGTATAGGATAGGAAAGATTTAAAATATTCATATTTTCAATCTTAATCAAAGTTGACTAAAATATTTATACTTTTTTTTTTGTTTAATAGGGACTCTTTTTGAATGGATACATTGGTGATAGGTAAGCCTTTAATTAAAAAGAATTATATTTTATCAGCTTAGTTTAAAAATGTTTGTAACTTTATAGCAGATTGCTAACTATTAGTTTACGTAGTTTACATACTTATAATTATATTTCCAGAGTTAACATGCGGATATTATTGTCTGTGGGTATGGCTAGCACAGGCGTATTAGTAAGTGTATACACTTTCTGTTTTGTGTTTAACATTTAAAAAATTAAAGACAAATTGATTTATTTTCTGTATAAATATGTTCTAGAGCTTATGGTTTTAAAAAGTGAAATGTTAAGTGTTTTACAACAGAGCTTGGTTTTTGGAAGTTAGATAAAAATATTGTGTAAATTAGCACTTGACTCAAGTTTACAAATTTTATTTTCAATTAAATTAAAAAATGTTGTACATATATACACTTTTTAACATTTATAAATATATTTTTCCCTAATTCCATTTTGATTTCCCATTACGAACTTTTCCCCAGATTTTTATATTTGGATGCATAACAGAATGGGTTGCTTTCTACAACAAATATTTTTACTGTTCAATCTGGATTATAAATGGATTGATGCAATCAACAGGATGGCCAGTAGTAGTGGCCTGCATGGGGAACTGGTTTGGTAAAAGCAGGTATGGTAATAAACCCTCATGCTTTAGATACATAGCATTTGAGGTTTCAATGTTAAATCAAAAGAGTCATATAAAAAATGTTTTTCTTCAAAGCCGAGGAATGCTTCTGGGGATTTGGAGTTCTTGTGCATCTGTGGGAAACATCCTTGGAGCTGTGATGGTTTCTTCAGTTTTATCTTATGGATACCAAGTATGTAATCATTATCATTATAGTTGTATGAGTAACTAACAGTTGTTCTATAAATTAGTTATTGCTGTTGTGGGTAAAGACCAAATTTTTTGTTCAACCAGGCATTGTTTGAAAACCAAATGGTAAAGATATTTCAACTAAGGGACTGTTTTGTATAAAACAAAATGCTAACTCCTGCACAATTTTTTCTAATGAGATAATTTAAAATAATTTTCAGTATGCATTTTTGATGACGTCAACAGTTATTTTGGCTGGGTCATGTTTAGTATTTTTTGGCTTGGTACCCTCTCCAGCTGATGTAGGTGAGAGACTTGGTTAAAAGTGGCATAAAAACTTTATAAATTTGCAAATGAAAATACCTACTATTAAAGTGCTTGACAATCAATTTTCCAAAAAGATATATTGGATTAATAACCATCTTCAAGACAGTAAAATACATATATATATATAAATTTATTGTTTTAGGAATGGAAGGCCCAGATGATGATAATGAAGATTCACGAAAACACAGTTTAAATGCAGATCATGATGATGCTAGAAGTAAGATTCTTTTTACAGCAAGCTATCTTTACAAATAACATTAAGTCATAATTGTTTTTTGCATATTGCGTGTTTAGATTTTACAGACTGAAGCAGATAATTTTCTATTTCGTAATGGTTGATATTGGATATCGACAAAGTTGTTTTAACCATTCAGTGTGTTCAGGTGCAAGGGTAATTTTTGTACTAACATTCATATCATGTGATTTCCCATCCTTTTTTTTTTCTAAGTTAAACCTATTGTTGAGTACAAAGCGACCTCTGAACATGTTTATATCATCACCCTCCCTAAGAATGTGGTGACTCCAAAAGGTATAACATTGTAAACTGGTTAATCGCACCTGACACTGAAGCCCATAATCTGCTCAAGTACCCCGCTGCTGTATTTTTCTTATTTTTCTATTAAAACAAACTACAATTGTTTGTTTCATCTCTTTTTGGTACTTGGTTTCCTTTTAGTAAAATGTTTGTAACTCATTGCAATAGTTACATGACATGCTTGTTCAATGTGCGATTAACTAGGATACAATCTCTTACAGCACATGACATTTTGAAATGTCTATCCCAAAACACCCAATATTTTATTCTACCCTGCCAGGCTTTCCAAGCAAGTTGTCTTTATTTATATTTCTAAAGTTAGAGATAGTATATTTTAGAAACATGCATTAAAAGCTACATTCTATGGGAAAAAAAACGCCCTTAGTTAGCATTACTTGAAAGAAAAAATTATTAATGGAACACTATTTTTTAAAAATGACCAAGTGTATAAATAAAAATTATTTTTTTCGCATTTAAAGCTTAACCCCTTTCTTGCTATCAGGTGGCGTGGTACCGTGACAAATGATCTCAAGGACAAATAATCTCAGACAAAATATCTCTCAGAATGGCTTTTAAATATTTAGCTGGAAGAACTACAGAAAGCCATTGACAAAACAAAATTATTTAATTACCATCAGAATACTGTAGTTCTTGTTCTTATATAGACATCAGCTGCATAAAGATGATGAAGTAAATAGGTGTTATAATTGTATCTGGTATTGAAGTCTTTCATGAGATTTTTAACCTACTGTAGAGTCTCAGTCTTAGTTTTTAAACTGCCAGGGTTTCTTCCTGCTGCTAGGTATGAGAAAATTCTGCCCCACAGGTGGATTACAGTTCAGCTTTCTACTGCTTGCACTCTACTTTTGCTTTTTCATCATATGCTACATTTTAAATTTATTTTTAAAATTATGTTTAGTCTTTTCATTAATCATGTTTATGCTCATAATATTCATATCAACCCACATGAAATTTTACAATTATATGTTTGTATTTTTAGAATGAAATCAGTTATTGGAAATTAAAAAATCACAATTTAATTATAACATGTAAACTTGATATTGTAAATTATGTTGATTAATATGATTAAAATATATACAGAAGACGTCCGAGGAATGTGACTTATTTATAACTGTTTATTTGTTTCAGCAATTTACCTAGTCCTTCAAATCAAAATTACAAACTATTTTAAAACTAACTGAGAATTTACAATTTTTAAATTATGTCCCTAAATATCCACCCCAAATTTTCACTTCTAATGATCTGTTTTTTGATTTACAGGACCACTTCTAGAGGATGCACAGAGTGCTAAACCAACTGAAGGTGATGACACTATTACTTATGATCTGCAATCTACCAAGCCAACATCAATGCCTTTCTGGAAAGCTTGTCTTTTACCAGGTGTTATTCCAGTAAGTCTTTGGTCATACATTGTCAAATATTGGTTTATCAATTTAATATTACCACTATATGTTTATGTCATTTTGTAGCAGATGTGTGTGACCTATCAATATCTTAGTAATTGAAAAAAAACATTATTTTTTTTTTTTAAAATGGGCCTTATGTGTAATTATATAATTTGTAGTTCTTTATCCACTTAGCTTCCAACAGTACTTTAAAAATGTGTCTCCACATTGTTTTCAGTATTCATTGGCCTACGCCTTCCTGAAGCTTGTAAACTATTCATTTTTCTTCTGGCTACCGTATTACCTGAAAAATGCTTTTGACTGGGAAGAGAGTGAAGCAGACAAGCTTTCTACTGCCTATGATGTTGCAGGCATTGTGGGTAAGACATTTAGTGCTCTTAGATTGATTTCAGTGGGGTTAATTCTTATTGTCTTTAAAACCTTCATGCACTTCTTACTATGTTACTGAAATATATTTTAAACAGTCTGTTATTGTGGCTACTTTGAACCATATCTTTTTTTTTTAAAGAAAAATTGATGATAGTTGTTGAAATAATACCACTCTCTTTCAGTCTAAGCCCATTTTTTTCTGTATATTGTCTCCCAACCTAAGCAAAACTTATCAATGACATTTTTAACAACTTTGCAGGTGGAATAGTGGTTGGCTTTTTCTCAGTGAGTAGTAATATGTTTGTCCTGTATTAGCCCTATTTAGGGTATACTGTAAGTAGGATAAGGATGTTTGTTTAATCAGTTCATTAATATTTTCCTGATATATGGAATGTTGTAAGTAGGATGTCTGTTTAATCAGTTCATTAATATTTTCCCTGTTCATTGTATATTGTAAGTAGGGTGTTGATGTAATCAGTTCATTAATATTTTCCCTGTTCATTGTATACTGTAAGTAGGGTGTTGATGTAATCAGTTCATTAATATTTTCCCTGTTTATTGTATACTGTAAGTATGATGTTGGTGTAATCAATTCATTCTATTTTATTCCAGGATCGGTTAGGCAAACGAACTATACTCATTCTTCCAATGTTACTCGTCTCCATCCCTTCTTTATTTGGTTACAGCGGTGAGTTGGGAATTACATACCTTTTTATAAGAAAAAATTTCTATTACTGTTTCAATACTCCATTGGCTGATTTATAATCATTTTATTTTAGTTTCTCCAAATGATCGTCTTGTAAATACAGTTTTGATGTCTCTCATTGGTTTCTTTATTGGAGGCGCAGCTAACCTAATTAGTGCAGCTGTATCTGCAGACTTGGGTAAGTCGATCTCAAGATACCAACACAAAGATTTCCGATGCTCTGGAAATCAGGTTTAAAAAATGCATCATTTTACGGTACCATGAAATCCATATAAGTTTGAATACTTCACTAGCACCCCTTGATATCTAAACAGCAGTTTTAAATCACAAATTCTAAACAACAATCACTTTACAGGATCACAAAGACAGATTCAAGGTGATGATAAAGCTCTGGCCACAGTCACAGGTGTTATAGATGGCACAGGTAGCCTAGGTGCTGCCTTAGGCCAGGTATGTCTTTAGCTTTAGCCCAGATGTGATATCCCAGGTAGTTAGAACATTAACTTACCTCACATTGATGTTTAGATAAGTATCCTTTATAAGGATAATAGTTATATTTTTTTACCTGCAGATTGCTGTTCCTTACCTTGAAACTGCACTAGGATGGTCGTCAGTATTTTACTTATTTATGATATGTGTAAGTACAATCTATTGATCTACTAACGCTAGTGACTTTTACTCCACATTTTTTAAAAACTGCCTTAAATACATTTTTTTATAACCAGTTTTGTTGAAAGTAAACCTCTTGCTCTGAACAAACTTTGTAAAAGTTATAACTCATGTTTGCTAACAACATACTATTTTTGTTGTTGATATTATTAAAATTTCTTCCAATGAACTCCCATTTTCCAGATGTTTCTCACTGCTGTCTGCCTGTTCCCATTGTTTATCAAAGAGATCCGGAGTCTCAGGTGTCCATGTGGAAGAAGAGACAGCAGCTTAGCTGTCAATGACTGAACAATATAATACTTCTCCTGTTGTTTTAAACTGCTTTCAACTGCTGTGTACTAGAGTTCAAGTTTTAACCACTGTGTGTAGCCATTTTTACCCCAAGCAGTGTGAGATAAATTTATGTGCATGGTGGATGTATTCAGTTTTTTATTGATTTAAAGAGTGTTAGGGACCACTAATGAATGGATGAGATATTCTCTAAGTCTTTCAAATGTATTTTAAGCCTAACTCCTGAATTGATTCATGTTTGTGCAATGCATAAATCATTTTATGTAGTAGTTTTTATTTCATTACTAGCCATCTGTTAGGTTTCTGTTGAACAAATGTTTTGAACCTAGTCTTGCAGTAAATTTTCTGGTTTTAGTTTGATCATGTTACTGTACCTGTACATAGACTTGGTTTTTTTTTTAAATTTTATCATAGACATATTTTAAGTTAATTTTAGAAATTTAATTTTTAACATTTAAATTTAATTTTAGTATTCATTTATGAGTAATAAATTCTAAAATTTGCAACTGAGCCGTACTAGATTTTAACTGAAGTACTAATATCTTTGCTTTGGAAATTCTTTCAGTTTTTTATGTACATTTTACTCTCAGCTATTTTATTTAAAGATAAAGTTAACTAAAGTTTTTTTTTAAAGTGATAACTATTTATTTCATTTTTAATCAAATGTCAGTAATGCAGTGCATTCTGTGACTGTGACTATAACTTGTTTTACTTAATTTTTGAGAAATAGGTTTCTTAAATTTTTACTTCTCAACTGGTGAGCATCTGTATATTTGATATATATATATATATATTATAATTCATATTTGAAGATGTGAATCTATTATTTCTTTTCAAATGATTTTGAAAGGAATGTCTTGTACGAGATAACAAAATGTGTGGTTATAAATGGAACATGAATTGTTTCTTCTCATGTAGCAGAGATATAAACCAAATGTTAGACCACCCCTCCCCAAATACCAGGATACACCTCTTTGGTTTGTCCACCACACCCCAAATCCCTGGATACATCTCTTTGGCTTGATCATCCCACACCAACTTGACCCCCCCCCCCCCCCTAAATCCCTAGATACACCCCTGTGTTGTGACCACCCCCATAGTTCTATCTACACCCCTGTGATACAGAGTCCCTGCCATGAAATCTAGCAATATCAAGCCTGACACTTCAATAGATGATATTATATTTCTTGTTCAGAGCCGTCTTCCATTCACATGTCTACACACTGGTGTATGCTGGGACTCAACAGTTGTCCATGACAACTTGTGGCAGTGAAGGATGTTTTTTTGTTTTCTTGTACAGTGAAGTGGAGAAAGTGAAAGTTAGACATAGCTTGAGCAGCCACCATGGTGGAGGAATGCACAATTAGCCAGTTGTAGTGAAGCTTGTCACTGTAAACTGTTAATTTTATATTTGTTTTTTTTAAATAGAATAAAGTGCTTGTCTTTTCTATCCCTGTCAGTTTAACTGTAATGTAATGGGATCCTGGTGTACTTCTCTTTCAGTATTTTGTACTTAGTTTTCTATTTATTTTGTTTCTCCAAGCTTTATGAAGCAAACAGTCCATTACTGTATACATTTGAATGATAAAATGTAATTAAGTTTTGAGGGTTTTAACGCCCACTTAGTTATATTGATTATGCTTGCACATTTTTATAATCTGTATATAAAATGGTGAGAAAATATTTTTTTAATGCTTGACTAAACTCCTGGGGTTAGGTATTATTAATTTCCATCACCCTAAACTTGATAAAGTGTTGTTGAATGGCATTGGTTGCACAATTGTTTTCTCTCAAGTTTCATCATTGACTCAAATATGTAACATCCCTGAGTCCACTCAGCTCTTACTAGTACCTGACCAGGTGGCTGGCATAACGCTTGTATTGCTTTTTAGTGAAGCTGGTCCAAAAAGGGACTTAGTTGCTTTACTTACTGTATAAATGTAAGCCAACTATCTGAAGTCCAATTTTGAGTCCATGCTAGTATTACTTTAAATACTTCAGTCAGAACATCCTGACACATTCCATATGTACAAAGCCTGATGTATGATTATAATAAATGATTATCAATTTGTCTGTTGGCTTGTCTTTTATTTTAGTTCCAGTACCATTGTTAAGTAATTCAATAGCCTTCTATTGTAATACATTTTTCAAGTTAAAGCTATCTTTTCAAGACAGCTTTGCACTTAGTTTTAGGAACCTCTAGTCCACAAATGACCACTGTGATTTGCTCCATTCACATTCAGCTTATAACATGGTAAATGTGATTCACATTGTTTATCCTCAGTAGTTTCTTTTAATGATCGTGAACTCGTGCTGCCGGGGGTAAGGGCAGAACAGGGTGACACTTAAATGAAAAAAAAAAATGTAAAATTGACTGCAGAGGGAGAAGAGGAACATCAAGCTAAAAATGTAACTTGAATGGGGAAGGGTGACACCGACACTGTGACGCCGCCTAAACTGAGTGTAATACCATTGGGCTCTTCCCATTGGCATATTAGGCTGTTACAGGGGCGTAGCGGGGGGGGTGGGGGGTGCGAACCGCACCGGGTGACACCATTTAGGGGGGTGACACCAAGGCAAAAAAATAGCAAAATATATAGAGAAAAACTTGAGGGGTGGGGTGCAAATCGAAAGTTTGAGGGGGGTGCAAATCGAAAATTTGAAAGTTTGTCCCCGGGAAAGGTCGCTACGCCTCTGGGGGGGGGGGGGGTGACAACATTAAGTGCCGCACCGGGTGACACCCGACCTCGCTACGCCACTGGGCTGTTATATTTATTATTGGTGCGCAAAACTTCGGCAATTTCCCATTATTCTTTTCAATCACGCGTTCATTTATTAAAGTTTTCAAGCAAGAATGATGCACACCATGTAAACAATCCAATCTCTTGTAGAGTCAAACATAAACCAGGTACGATTGTTATCGAGGAGAAGGGGTGATTACAGTGGGTGTTTGGTACACAATGTGGATCTAAGCATGTGTTACATAAACGTGGTATAAGCAGAGACGGCGCCAGGTTATTTAGCGCCCTTGGCAAAACTTATTAAAACGCCCCCTTTTACACAAATTAATTACTAAAACATATCTTAACATATGTATAATAAAACAAATAACTAAAAGTGACATATCAATTTATTATCAATTGCGTACACGTTATAAGTAGAGATCAAAGTCAAATTTTACTAGCCTCCATCGTCTCAAAAGTTTGTAGTAATTCCTTCAATTACAGTTTGCAAGCGTAATCACATTTTATTGAAATTGTTGCTAAGTGCACAAGTCTACTTTGTACTTTGCGATATAGCCCCCCTTCCTTCCCCTTAGAAAATTTGAAATGCTCCCCCCCCCCCAGGGGAGAAAAAAGTCTGGGGAAAAAACACTGAATCAAAAAAAAAGTTCTTGTAGTGTTGGGCTCCATGCAGTTCTCCCATTGGGAGTCCCAAAACGCAGTGGCGTAGCGAGGTCGGGTGTCACCCGGTGCGGCACTTAATGGTGTCACCCCCACCCCAGAGGCGTAGCGACCCTTCCCGGGGACAAACTTTCAAATTTTCGATTTGCACCCCCCCCCCTCAAACTTTCGATTTGCACCCCCCCTCAAGTTTTCGATTTGCACCCCCCCCCCCTCGAACTTTCGATTTGCACCCCCCCCCCTCAAGTTTTTCTCTATATATTTTCCTATTTTTTGCCTTGGTGTCACCCCCCTAACTGGTGTCACCCGGTGCGGTCCGCACCCCCCGCCCCCCCCCTCGCTACGCCCCTGCCAAAACGGATCTTTCATGTTTTAAGCTTGACTATCTTTAGTTATAATTATAAAATGTCTATATTGTGTGATTATGTAACGATTTTTGGTTTTTGAAAAATAAATGGTTATAAATAATATAGATTCCGGCCTAAAATTGCTCTATATGAATACTTTTGGAGAGGTTGAAAAATATGAAAAGACAATTAATTAGATGTTTAATTTACGACTTAGACTGTCTACTAACATTAAGTATTGCAATCTATAACGGCTACTGATGCATTTGTTTTTCAACTTGATAATGCTAACAAACCTACCAAACAATTTTGTTTAGAACTTAATCTCTATATAATTGTACAATAGCAAATAATAATTTAAGGTTGTATTTATAAGTAAGCGGTCAACCTAATGTGTAAGGAATTTGAAATGAATGTAGAGTTTAGCAACGAATTATCTCCCATTTGAAAATTCCAATACCAAAATTTTATTCAAGGGAAATAACTTTCACAAGAATAGCTCAATTAACCAAGTGTAACTAAGACATGCTTGAAAAAAAAAACGCTCTAAATTTCAGTACGTAAAAATTATAACACATTTTTTATATTAGCTATGTAACCTTGTAAAAACAATAATTTTACCTATTCATTACTTAACTGTAGGTTTTGTTTGAAAGTCTAAAACCGGTAGCTTTATTATAACATACTTTTATTCAATTTCGATGACATACTTTAAATTTTATATGTGTTAATTTACGCTATCAATATAATTTTGGATCCCCTAAATCAGGGGTCGGCAACCTTTTGAAGCGGAAGAGCCAAAAGTTACAATTTTCAAAATTTCCCTGGTTTTAAAGAGCCACTAACATTTTTTTTATTTCAAATATTTTATTTTTTATTAAGATTATTAGTATTTGTTCAAGGAGCTGGAAAGCCGCATCTTGATATCAAAAGAGCCGCATGCGGCTCGCGAGCCGCAGGTTGCCGACCCCTGCCCTAAATAAAGGGACGCCTTTTTAAAAAATCAAACACGGGGTAGAATTTGTTTTAGACATTGCTAGAATTATTGATTAAATATAAAAAAAAATTGTAATTTTAAAAAACAAAGATTACGGTTAGTTATAAAAGTTATAAATTCCATCCTATTTAATATTTTATATTAACTAACCGTAGGTACTCGTTACACGTGAATCATAGGTCTATATATTTTAAATGGTATATATTTTTTAGAAGAATATTTTATAAAATAGTTATTGGTCAAAACTCAATGTGCTTTACTTCAGGTTTAACGATATTAGTGACAACTTAATAGCTAAAAGACCGATACATTTAAAATTACATAGGCTACTTATACCTATTAGAAAAAATAAAACCAAATTATGTACATAATTAGTCAACACAACACCATATTAAATGCACACATTGATTAAAAGACTTAAATGATTACGTCAAAAAACCCCGTCTTTTCAACGGTATTTATGTTGTTTTTTTAAAAAGTAATTTGTATTAGTTTTGGCCGAGGAAAGTGTATAAATTTCATAAAGTAAGTCTATAGATCTAGATCTAAATCAAATTTTAATGAAATAGTTCATTTCTTCGTATTCTAAAATATGATTAACTTCACCAAGCTCTATAATTATGCCCTGGGTATAAGGGGATTATTGTTATGGCCCAGTGTGTTAGAAGTACACAGACACTGTACAGATCTAGGGAAAACATGGTATCACTCGGTGTGTTAAACCTGTCTATAGACCAGTGGCGTCACTAGGCCGGGTGGCTTAATGACGGTGTCACCCCACGCCCTCCAAAATTTTGTATGTTTTTTTTTTCTCGTTTCTTTTTGTCACCCTCCCTTTCCCACCCCACCTCCTATTTTAAAAAAAAAATTCTGGATAAAACATTGTTTGAATTGGAATTTTTAAAAATTATTTTTCTATTTCGTGCAACCATCTAAATGGTGTCACCCTATGTAGACCCCCCGCCCAGTGACGCTATTGCTATAGAACAGGGGTCTCCAAACTACGGCCCGCGGGCCGGATGCGGCCCGCGAGGTCCTCTCATCATCTTTTTGTCCACGGAAAAAAACGTTTGTTGGAGTTGGCTGAGGAACTTGCTCAGAAAGTTACGACATGCCTGGAAGAAACTGGCCCCCGAACTGAAATTTGATAGTTAATGCGGCCCTCGGGCTGAAAAGTTTGGAGACCCCTGCTATAGAATATAGTTCATCCCCCCCCCTCCCCAATGATAATGACGAGTGTTCTACTTCTGTCCCGGTATTTAATCGCATGCCCGATAATTCCTATCAAATATCAAATTGTTTCATCATCTCTCGTAATCAATGTCAAGGTTAGGTTTAGATGTCAAACCTCCCCCCCCCCCATATACACACCCCCTACAACCACCAAGGTTCATGAAGTGGGTACCCGTTGTGGGGTCACATTTAAGCAGTGTCTGTCTTCATCCACTTGAAGGCTTGTATTTTCTGTGGGGTCCCATTATGAAGGTGTGTCGTCATCCACTTGAAGGCTGGTATTTTCTGTGGGGTCCCATTATGAAGGTGTGTCGTCATCCACTTGAAGGCTGGTATTTTCTGTGGGGTCCCATTATGAAGGTCTGTCTTCATCCACTTGAAGGCTTGTATTTTCTGTGGGGTCCCATTATGAAGGTGTGTCTTCATCCACTTGAAGGCTGGTATTTTCTGTGGGGTCCCATTATGAAGGTCTGTCTTCATCCACTTGAAGGCTTGTATTTTCTGTGGGGTCCCATTTTGAAGGTGTGTCGTCATCCACTTGAAGGCTGGTATTTTCTGTGGGGTCCCATTATGAAGGTCTGTCTTCATCCACTTGAAGGCTTGTATTTTCTGTGGGGTCCCATTTTGAAGGTGTGTCGTCATCCACTTGAAGGCTTGTATTTTCTGTGGGGTCCCATTATGAAGGTGTGTCTTCATCCACTTGAAGGCTGGTATTTTCTGTGGGATCCCATTTTGAAGGTGTGTCGTCATCCACTTGAAGGCTTGTATTTTCTGTGGGGTCCCATTTTGAAGGTGTGTCTTCATTCACTTGAAGGCTGGTATTTTCTGTGGGGTCCCATTATGAAGGTGTGTCTTCATCCACTTGAAAGCTGGTATTTTCTGTGGGGTCCCATTTTGAAGGTGTGTCGTCATCAAGTTGAAGACGATTGGTGCAGATCCCAGTTTTTGAAGAGAGACTTCCATGGGCCATAAGTGAACCAGCTAACTGGTGTTGGGGCCATGAGTGAAGCGGATGACAACTGGACTGGTGCACGAACATAGATTACATGACCAGCATGGAAGAGGGGGGGGGGACTGAACTCAGCCCTGTTTGTGACCTCTAATACGGTCGTTGGCTCTTCCAGATTGTTCTAATTTCTGGCTTTGCGCTATCTTGGTTTTTTTTAAAGAGTAGAATAAAAGAAGCGCTAAGAATGTAAGATAACAATTTAAAAAAAAAAAGTCCGCTCGTTTTGAAGACAGTTTGCGACAATAGCTATGTCACCCGAATAGCCGCGTTGCCAGGCATTACGACAGTGTTAGAATGTTACAGTTAAGCCAAAAGTTGAGTTCTGGTGGGAGCAGAGTTTCTTCTAGGCATCTCTGTTGCGCCCCCCCCCCCCCCTCCCCGAAGAAAGTCTACCGCCCCCACATATATATATATATATATATATATATATATATATATATATATATATATATATATATATATATATATATATATATATATATATATATATATATATATATATATATATATATATATATATATATATATATATATATATATATACTTTTATTAGTGTCCGCCCCCCCCCCCCCGAAAATTTAGTCTGAAAGAAACACTGCAAAGTAGTCTACGCATGTTATACAGCATGCACCTTTATAATAGAGGACCTTCCTCATCCTTTCCATATCGCCATAAATCCGCCTTCATCTAGCTACGCGTGGCGTAGTTTAGAGACGCCCCCTCCCCCTGGTATAAATACAGGCCTAACATACATGATATGAGTTGATAAATATATCAATTTATATCACGTATAAGCAGTCAGGTGTCACCCGGTGCGACACCTCATGGTGTCACCCCCCCCCCAGTAAAAAAAATGGTAGGCTTTATATATAGGCTAGGGAAAAATTATATGGGGCACCTGCTGATCTGGAGACTTTAGTCCGGTTTATTCACGAAGTTCGACTTGTTGTCTAAATCCTCCACCATATTCTCAATTAAGAACGAAGAAGAAGAAGATACATATGCTATATATATATATGCTATATATATATATATATATATATATATATATATATATATATATATATATATATATATATATGCTATATATATATATATATATATATATATATATATATATATATATATATATATATATATATATATATATATATATATATATATATATATATATATATATATATATATACTTGGTGTCAACACCCCCCCACCCTCCCCCCCCACTCCCCCCCCCCCCCCCCACCCCCTTGTCGGAATAGTCAGTTTAAATGTTAAAAGACTTTTTAACTCTAATTACCCATTAATTGAACTGACAAAAACATATTTTTCTGCTATATATTTTGCAATATTTTGTCTTGTTGTCACCCCTCCCCCCCAACTGGTGCTACCCGCTGCGGTCCGCACCCCTGCCTCCGCCTCGCGACGCCTCACTGTAAGCTAGACAGGAATACGTTTGACAGTACAGTAAAGTACTTTTACTACCAAGGTCTTTATTTGCGCCCCACGCCGAAGAGCTCGCTCATTATCTGGGTTAAACCACGAACGAAACAATGCGCACGGCGATAACCCAATACATGCCGATAGACATTGGTGGTAGGCAGATAATGGGGGCAGAGTTGAAAGTTCATTGTCAGAAGCGCTTGAAGTGGTGTGTCAATAGCAGGGGCCAATCAAATCAGGAGATAGACCCCGACGTCATTGTATGGCTGGACGTAATCTAGAACTAGTACCTGGGGGGTGGAGGTGGGCGGGGGGATAAGTCAGAAGACCCCCCCCCCCCACGTCATTGTAGGACTAGACGTAATCTACTAGTACCTGGGGTGGGGGGATAAGTCAGTAGACCCCCACGTTTTGTAGGGCTGTACGTAATCTAGGACTAGAGAGAGAAAGATGATTTTTATACCAAGTGTCGCAAAGAGCAATCGAAAAGATTTTGTGGAATGCTGTACTGCACTAGACTTATGTTAACTTCCCACAGTTTTTTTTTTAAATTGACCTAATTATCAAAACCAAGTTAATGACGGGTTAAGTGGCATCACGCGACAGTAGCATGAACTCATCTTTCAACTACTCCCCCCCCCCCCGCCCTATTTCGTTGGAAGGGGGGTAAACTTTCTTCGTGAGGGGGGGGGGGGGGCGAAGACACTGTTGGTGGAAGGGGTGGGCTGATCATCGACTGACTGACCCCATTCTCAGACCCCGAGCTTCTCAGGGCGGTACATTCGGGGTGACTGTTATAGGGCCCCGAGCTGAAGAATTTTAAAAATAAACTAAGTAAAAGATTTTACACTCCCGGGGAAAAGGGGAGGGGGGGTCTGACGGTTGTGACGATCTGTGACGAAAGGTATGAGGGTAGATATAGTATAACGTAACTTTGGTTATTGTGTGTGTGTGTGACGGTGGGGGGGGGGGGTATTAGAATGATGACGTTCAATTTTGGCATTGGGAGGGAATCGAGAAGATTTAAATATTATCTATTTAAAGGGTTTATTTACAAATTACATATTTTACCCCAAGGGTAGGGGGGTTTGAGGGATGGAGTCTAACTTTCATAATAATATGCTAATTCAAGTGGAGGTGATTTTACTCATATAGGCCTAAGCTTATCAATCAATAAGAGACTGTTTCTTTTGTAGTAATATTTGAGTGTAGCGGTCAAGGTCAGCCGATAGGATGGCGCAACAAGCGCGCAAGATTTTGATAGCCATGGACGGTAGCAAGTACTCGGACTACGCCTTTGATTGTAAGTAATCGATTATGCTTTTGATTGTAAGTAATCAACTATGCTTTTGATTGTAAGTAATCGACTACGCTTTTGATTGTAAGTAGTCGACCATGCTTTTGATTGTAAGTAATCGACTACGCTTTTGATTGTAAGTAATCGACCATGCTTTCGATTGTAAGTAATCGACCATGCTTTCGATTTATTCTGGCGTTAAAGTAAACCATGTCAGAAGATAAGTAAGGCATTAAACAAATAGGTTATCATGTGTCTGTGTGTGTGTGGGGGGGGGGAGATGGGAGGGGGGCTGGATTGTGCATGTGGATCTGGAAGCGGATTAGTAATTAGTTTGTGTGGAGTGTGAAATCATCATTACAGTTTATCTTTAACGCCCTTGATCATCAATTGCCTGAACGTGAACATTCGACAACCATGTGATAAAAAAAAGTTCACCTCCCCTACCCCTTACCCCCTCTCCCCCCCTCTCCGACCCACACACAGCCCACATCTGCCATCTATGAACATGTTTATTTTCTCACCGCTCTACCAGGGTTCATGAGGTACTTCTACAAGGATAAAGACGACGTTCTACTGGCCTACTGCGTGGAGCCTCCGACGGGACTCTCTATGTTCTGTTAGTTGGACCAACACAAAGAATAGAATAGATGTTTCGTTTCATTGTGAAGACCGTTTGTAATATATAAATATACCTACATACATATACTAGCATATATGGCTATACACATACGCGCTCATACAGACGCACGTACACATATATAATTTATGTACACATATATGTATTTATTTATAAAAAAGGCATATACACCCCCCCACCCCCCACCCCCCCCCACACACACACACACACACACACACATATATATATATATATATATATATATATATATATATATATATATATATATATATATATATATATATATATATATATATATTTTTTTTTTTTTTTTTTTTTTTTTATTATTTATTTATTTAATTAATTTTTCTTGACATAGGTCGGAGAAAGTCGAAAGGTGTTGTTGAAACAGAAACGAGTAAGTTGTCTGCTAGTTAGATGCTGGCTTAGTGTGGGGGTCATTAACCCAGTGTAAAATAAAGTTGTTGTACCATCTATGTCAAATTCTCTCACTTGATCGAATACCAGATACCAACATTACCAACCTACACAGCTTTTGTCTTTGTCGTTCAAACGTCTACAATATTATTCACGCTTAGACCGTTCGTATCTCCCCTCCTCTACGATAAACCAGTGGGTATCCTCCCCCCTCCCCCCCCTCTATCTACCAGCCCCTGCAGCCCCCGTAGCCCCGGGACAAGACGCCAACGCTGTGGCCAAGGTCCCCCAGGAAGACGAGGATGAGTCGACTGTGTTGTTGATTAGGCTTCAGTCTAAGATCTCCTCAGCTGGTGTAAGTCTGTCTGTGTGTAAGTCTGTCTGTGTGTTGCTGATTAGGCTTCAGTCTAAGATCTCCTCAGCTGGTGTAAGTCTGTATGTGTGTAAGTCTGTCTGTGTGTTGTTGATTAGGCTTCAGTCTAAGATCTCCTCAGCTGGTGTAAGTCTGTATGTGTGTAAGTCTGTCTGTTTGCTGACTGTCCACCTGGTGTAAGTCTGTGTGTTGTCTGCATTTATTTATGTATTATAAGTCTAAAATCTACACACCACTTTAAAGAAACGAAAACCTTTTGGAGTGAAAATATTTTTTTTGGCACTTACTTTTTCCAATATGGCAGGTCAAGGGCTCGGTGCTCCGTTTATCTGGCAAGCCAGGGGAGGCGCTCGTGAAGGCCAGTGAAGAAAACAAGGTGGACATTATCGTGACGGGGACGAGAGGGTCCGGGTTCTTCAAGAGAAGCACCATGGGCAGCGTCAGTCAGCACATCGTCAACAACGCCAGTGTACCAGTCCTTGTGGTTAGAGTTTAGGTAGTGGTCCCCTCAACAACAGTGGTCCTTGTGGTCCATTCAACACCAGTGGTCCTTGTGGTCCCCTCAACATCAGTGGTCCTTGTGGTTAGAGTTTAGTGGTCCCCTCAACACCAGTGGTCCTTATGGTCCCCTCAACACCAGTGGTCCTTGTGGTCCCCTCAACACCAGTGGTCCTTGTGGTTAGAGTTTAGTTAGTGGTCCACTCAACAACAGTGGTCCTTGTGGTCCCCTCAACACCAGTGGTCCTTGTGGTTAGAGTTTAGGTAGTGTCCCCTCAACACCAGTGGTCCTTGTGGTCCCCTCAACACCAGTGGTCATTGTGGTTAGAGTTTAGGTAGTGGTCCACTCAACACCGGTGGTCCTTGTGGTCCCCTCAACACCAGTGGTCATTGTGGTCCCCTCAACACCAGTGGTACTTGTGGTCCCCTCAACATCAGTGGTCCTTGTGGTTAGAGTTTAGTAAGGTGGTCCCCTCACCACCAGTGGTCCTTGTGGTCCCCTCAACACCAGTGGTCCTTGTGGTCAGAGTTTAGTTAGTGCCCCCCTCAACCCCAGTGGTCTTTGTGGTCCCCTCAACCCCAGTGGTTTTTGTGGTCTCCCTATTGTGACAGTGGTCCTTGTGGTCAGAGTTTAGTTAGGTGGTCCCCTAATGTGACAGTGGTCCCCCTAATGTAGGTGGTCAGAAAATTATTACTACTGGTGCTGGTCTTTATCAGTTATCGGATTACAATACTATTGTTGTTTTTTTTTTAGCGTTTAACATTTATCATAGTATTAAATTAAAATGTTTTATTACCTACCCTGATAAGGAGAGGATTGTTTCTTGCACAAAATTTACTTTTCTCTCCTTTTCGTTGCAGTTTTTTGCAGTTTTTATTATATATATATATATATATATATATATATATATATATATATATATATATATATATATATATATATATATATATATATATGACATTTTCTTTATCGAACATATACTTTTTAAGTTTGATTAAACTAAAACAGAACGAACAAAAACTAATTACCAAGATTGAACAAAAGTACATTTAAAAATGTAAAAACCTTGTTTAATACTCTTTATAATACATTCAAATACAATCAAACACATTGACAACATTCTGACTCAATAAATACAACAGAAAAAAAACGGTAACTTGTCACAGGGAAACCCATAAACGATGTCTCACCCAGATTGAATCAAACATTGATCCGGATTTGACACAACATCGCAGAATTGTAATCATTTTCATACCAAGGGAAACAACTGACTAATTTCGTTTGGCAAATAAATAATAGTTTGGTTATATCCCCTGGTAACTTTAGGTGTGGGGTGTGGTGGAAAAGAGGATTGTTGACTTTTACGTTTTTTGACAATGGAAGGGGAAAAAGGGGTGGGGGTGGGTGGTGGAATTAAAAATCGGCATTAGGAGGGTGTTATTGTTTATGGACCACCGAACAATTTATAGACAATTTTTAAATTAGCCAGAGTTTAGGGCTTGTTTTTTTCCCAATAAACTGCCGTAAACCTTATATACAAGTATGATTCAACATTTGTTTAAAATGTTGTATAGTCAACAAGATGTTGTGAGAATGTTGTATACCCAACAAGCTGGGGTGAAAATGTTGTATAGACCAACTAGCCGGGGGGAAAATGTTGTATACCCAACAAGATGGGGTTGAAAATGTTGTATAAACCAACACGCTCTGAGTCTTAGAGAAAAGACAACATCCCAGCGTTGTTTTATACAAACAGCCCAGGTACAACACGAGGAGCTGCGCGAGAAAGACGGGAAACAGATCACATTGTGAATAAATAAACTGTATCCATGTGTGTCAGTCATTGACGCCCTAGTGTATCAAGTCTTGGTGTCATTTGAATCAGCTATTCACTGCTATTGACGTCCAAATGTATCAACTATTAACGTTCTAGTAGGAGTCACTGACGTCATAATGTATACATCACTGACGTCATGTATCAATTACTGACGTCATAATGTATCAATCACTGACGTCATAATGTATCAATCACTGACGTCATAATGTATCAATCACTGACGTCATAATGTATCAATCACTGACGTCTAATTGTAAGAAAATATATCGAAGATTGGGGTCAAAATTTAAATTAAACATTTCATGAATTCGTATAAAACAATGAAACAAATTATCTCAATAATTGACAAACACATTCGAATAATTTAAAAATCGACAATAACTGTGTCAGTAATTAGCGTCCTAGACATATGTCAACAATTAGCGTCCTATAAATATGTTAGTAATTAGCGTCCTATAAATGTCAGTAATAAGCGCCCTAAAAATATGTCAGTAATTAGCGTCCGATTCAAAGTTTGTCAGAGTTTTAGGATAGTTCATTTTCCCCGAAGAAAAAGTGCTGGACAAGGTGCCGGGGAGGGAGTGGGGTCGCTCATACAGGAAGTCCGTGTCCACACTGCACCCGTTCCTCACGCTGACCTTCTGCGCGAGCTCGTATTTTAGGCGGGAAACCATCCGCATCTTGGGGATAAACACGATGAGCAGGATCATGGTGGCGCTGGCCAAGATGGCGGAGCAGATGATGATCTCGGACCACTTCCGGTCGACGTAGAACAAACAGAGCGGCCAGGCTATCCAGACGAGCAGACACGCCCAGCAGCAGGCCAGCAGAAGTTTAGACTCGCCCATGTTCTTTTTCTCGTTCCGCACCCGGATGGCGTAGAGCGAGCAGACGAGGATGAGGAACATGTTGTACACGTGGTAGATGACGAAATCTCGCCGGTCAAGGTCACAGGCGTGCTTCTCCACCTCGAACCTGTCTATTTTTAGATGTGTAGCCGGCGTGTGGTACAGCCACCACTGCACGCCTATAGAGATCTGCACGCACCAAATAAAAAACACCGAAACGCACTGGTTTACTCCAGAAACTTCACCCCCAAGACCGATAAGTTTGTAGTTTTCTAAAGTCATCAACTTAACAAGTATAACACCAAAGCATAGTGAAAAAGCGATTCCGGAAAGAAAAAAACGAAGTCCGCACACGGCTTCGCATGGAGTAAAAACAAAGGGCACGACTGAAATAAATAGGACTTTGAGGGACAGCAGAAGTGCAAGTCCCAGACCGATGTAGCGCTTGCCCAGCGCGCGGGTGTGGATCTTGTACAGGATGTAGAAGGTGAAGGTCAAGGAGATGAAGGTACCCGAGCTGGCGATGGCCAAGACGGCGATGGTCCACGTCTCGAGAATGATCTCCCCCTGACTGGCGGTGTACAGGCATTCGTCAAGCTCAGAGAAGGACGAGACGTTGGGTGACGTCACTTCCAGGCATGCGCAGTCCGTGTGGCAGTTGGTGTCTGGGGTCCTGACGACGACGTCGGTTGTGGTCGTTTGGCGCATGTTGACGATAGGTTTGGTTAGGTTTAGCAGGTTTTGGTAATAGCTCCCGACCTAGAATGTACAAAAGCAGATTAGTACATTTTTACAAATATTATGAATTCAACAGAGAGAATAATCATTGTGTACTTATAACGTGAAGGTACAGGGAAGGATAATTTATCATTGTTATACTTTATTACTGTTATTGTTATACTGAGTATGTAGACGATGATGGTACAAAGCAATGTCGCATAACACTGATTTGCCTTTCTTTATTTTTACATCTAGGCACAACTAGCCTACAAACTCGTTCATTGTAATAAAATGTAACGATTTTTATAAGGATTCTAATAAGTTTTTTTTTTAATATCTAGAATGAGTCCTAATTTTTAAAAAATAAATAAATGATGTCGTTGTTTGTAAGTGGAATGCGGGGGGGGGGGGGGGGAATGGGCAGCTTAAGTTCTCAGAAATGTTTTAAAATATTTTATGTTCAGATCCCACTTGCCTAAAAAATTAAAGTAATCATAAATATTTTTATACAATAGACGGGATGGACAAGTATAAATGTTTTTGCTTACCTCGACTATGCCATCTTTTTGGACATTAAAAAGAGACAACTTGGAATGTAACATGCCCTTGAAGTAATTTTCTGGTTGCTCCCCTTGACGAAAGTCTCCTGCAGCTAGACCTAATTTATCAACTATATCCTTGGCAAAGCTATCACAGATACCGGATTTTCCCGGACATTTTTTGACGTACTGTGCATGCAGGTTATGAAGAATGACGTCCACTGATTGTATAACTTTAGTCGCACCAGACGTCAAATTAAAGTTTAAGAAACTGTCGTCTGCAAGCGAACACTTTGACTGAGCATCAGGAGAGGATGGACAAGAATGTCTAATTCGTGAAAATTCTTTCAGCCATTTTGTTTTGTCCTCAGCTTTGTAGGTTTGCACGTGATTGGCTAGTTCGTCGTTTGTCTGCCATTTTGAAAGCAGAAGTAGTGAGTTTAGCGGGAAAATGCTGGAAATTTCCTCAAGTTTTTGGCTATCTGCAGTCAAGAGCGGAACGATCCAGAAGTTAGTGTTGTTTTCTGGGATATGCTGAAACAACAGTCTCTGATTGGCCGAACTGGCGAGGAGGATGGCGGGAAACCCCGGGTAGTCTGTGAGCAGGTCGTGAACTGAGGGGTCCTCCGTGGGTCGGGACGGAAGGGTTTTGACGATGCAGCTTTTTTCCTTCAAAATGGCGGACAAAATGGCCCTGGCCTCGTTTTCGTACTGACCTTTATCCTCGAGTATTAAAATGTATTGCTTCCACTTCAAGGTCGCTAGAATTTCAAGAATGGCTTTCGTGACGTCAGCGTAACCTTCACCTTGAAATACGTCACTGTCGCCGTTTCCGATGAAAAATATGTTCTTTTTTTCGTGGTCGAAAAGTTCTGAAATGGACAAAGTGTTGTTGTTTTTGTCGAAAATGTAGCCTAAGTTTTGAGTAGGATTTGCGGAGTCTTTGATGGAATCAGTTGAATTTCCGTCCTCGGAATCGTTTGTGTTCTGTCCAAAGTTGACCGCGCAAGATTCGAAATCTCCCAGGATCTTCAGGGCCGTCGCGGTCTCTGAGCAGGAGTCTAGCACCAGCCCGCCCACAGAAACCCCGGGGAGGAGGTGTGGGTAACGTCTCTTGGCGGAGTCCACAGCAAACATGAAAGCTAGAACCCGATTGGTCGCTTCCTCGTCCTGGTTGACCCCGCCACACCGGAACATGCCGGAACCGGAAGTGTGGAGCGGGAAGACCCCCGTGACGATGACGTCACCGGGCTTGTGGAGGTGTGTGTGGGGTGAGGTGAGCGGGGTGTGGCACCTGTAGCACGCGGGGCACCAGCCACGACAGGTATTGTGGGGCAGCAGGGTGACCTGGGTCTTGGACAGGTAGGCGCCGTCTACGTCAGCAAGCTGTGTCAAAGAGAAACCGGAAGTACAACAATTTTAGTTTCATTTTAATCATCTTAATTGTATAGCAAGTGAAGGGATCCCTTCCAACCACTAAAATTAAGAACGAAGAAGAAGAATCATCTGATTTGTTAATAAAGATTAAATTAGTTAAATCTAACAGGAAGGTGGACGTTAGGCCAGTGCAGTATCGTATCATTTGTGATTTAATTTTTTTTTTACTTGTTCGACATCATGAACAGTTCTAGTACATTTATAATGAATTAACTGGAACAATTAAGATGTGTTGTGTTCAAGAGGCTAAAAAAGATGCCACTTCACAAGTAGAATAGAAGACTTAATAAAACAAAATTCACTTAAAGAATTGACAAATAACAAAGTGACATTTGATATAACTATAGTGATAGTTGGTTGATATCTACTCAGTGCTGGTAGATATCTTGTGAATACTTATTATAGTTGGTAAGTATCTAGAGATAGTTGGTAGATAAATTGTGAATTGTGATGGTTGGAATCTTCTAAGTGTTATAGTTGGTAGACACCTTCTATATGATTGTGATATGTTGTGTTCTCTATGAGTGTGATATGTTGTGTTCTCTATGAGTGTGATATGTTGTGTTCTCTATGAGTGTGATATGTTGTGTTCTCTATGAGTGTGATATGTTGTGATCGCAGGGCACATTTGATGGATAGTGGTAGATATCTTGTGATGGTTGATATCTTCTATATGGTGGTAAATATTCTGTGTAAGTTCACATGGGCATGTGACGGTAGGTAGATGGTATGCCAGGAAAAAGTAATCGAAAACGAGACTCAACTTTGGCCCTTCATGAATAAATCTTCGACACGCAGACGGAAAATTCCGGTACATTAGGCACGGAAGCCGGAAAAATCTCACAGAATAAAGTTGGTGAGAGGGTAGGATTGGCGCGTGAGTTGTTGGCCTTGATTTGGTGTATTATAAAGTACACTAAACACACACACACACAAGCACACACACACACACGCACATACACACACACACGCACACACACACACCCGTACGCAGGCACACATTGTTACTAAAATTCTATAATCCTTCATACTTCATACCACCACGCCCCCCCTCCCCCCGTAAGGCGACATCTACATGTGTCTAAGCTTGCTAGCGATATTGTGCTAAGCTTTGGTTACATTTTTTTTTTTGTCGTAACACCGTCCTGTTAGCTTTGAGGATAAAGAACAGCCTCCCTCTTATTTTGTCATCCAGTCAATTACCCTATTGACCCAACGACCCGTTCTAAAAAAAAAAAAATCGCCTTCGATAAAAAAAAATAAAACTCAGAAACTGGAGAGCTCTAAAACAAAATGGCCGAGATCAAAGTGAAGCGTCCGCTCTTCTTGTACTGGTTTCAAGGGCCGCAACCGGAGAACTGACGTACTGAGGCGAGTGATGGCCCCCTAACTCAAGCCCAAAGCTAGAATTTAACGTGAGGTTTAACCTGTTATGTTCAACTGAATTGCTGTTATTTAACTCGCGATTCTGTCGGGTGTTCAACCACTGTGTGAAGCCACATGATGGAAAATACATTTAGATTTATAAATATATCAGATGTGGTATTATAAAATAAATGCAAGTTATACATCAGTGTTGATCATTGATTTATTTGAGGTTATAAATCAAAGGATAAGCCTCATTTTACGCGACAGACATTAATCACTTATCATGTAGAATAAGCGGCTTCGATTCCATTTCATGTGTGGATTTTATTAGGGACAAACTAAATAAGGGGTGTAAATACATGTAGTTGGTGGCTGTTGTAGTTGGTGGCTGTTGTAGTTGGTGAGTGTTGTAGTTGGTGGATGTTGTAGTTGGTGTAGTGTATAGTGGTGTAGTACTGTGTGATGTTGCTGTGTGACGTGGTGTATTGGGTGGCGGTGTAATCGTGTAATAGTGCGGTATAGTAGTGTGGTGTAGTAATGTAGTGTTTGGTGGTGCAGTTGGTGGTGGTGTGGGGTGGGGTGTAGTGTTGGTGAACTAGTAGTGAGTGGTGTGGTAGTGTGAGGTGACTTAGTGTTTGGTGGTTTAATTGGTGTTGTTGGTGTATATGGTGTAGATGTGATGTAGATGTGATACAGCTTGAGGTCCAGTTGATGTAGTAGTGTGTGGTGTAGTAGTGTGTGGTGTAGTAGTGTGTGGTGTAGTAGTGTGTGGTGTAGTAGTGAGTGGTGTAGTAGTGTGTGTGTGGTGTGGTAGTGTGTGGTGTAGTAGTGTGTGTGTGGTGTGGTAGTGTGTGGTGTAGTATTGTGTGTGTGGTGTGGTAGTGTGTGGTGTGTGGTGTAGTAGTGTGTGTGTGGTGTGGTAGTGTGTGGTGTGTGGTGTGGTAGTGTGTGGTGTAGTAGTGGGTGGTGTGGTGTGTGTGTGTGGTGTGGTAGTGTCTGGTAGTTTGTGGTGTAGTAGTGTGTGGTGTGTGGTGTAGTAGTGTGTGGTGTGTGGTGTAGTAGTGTGTGGTGTGTGGTGTGGTAGTGTCTGGTAGTTTGTGGTGTAGTAGTGTGTGGTGTGGCCGTCTTTGTGTGTGATTTAACAGCCGCTGCTAGCAGCTAGATATTTCACTCTGCTAACCACTCTTTTGTCTGAAATTCTGGCAGCGTATGAGAGCCAGCCCCTATCCCTTATTACCAGCCCCCCCCCCCCCCACCCATCACCAGCCCCACTCCTCCCTCTCCTTAACCACCCACCGTGAACACGTCATCTTTTACCTTAAGGTTTTGTAAAAAAAAGTTTCAAAACATTTTAACTTTGAAATATTTATACTAATTTGAAAATATCGGAATAAAAACACCGAACCAAGCGAAACGAGAAACAGATGCACGACTGGTTAAAAACGGGACAACAGAAGAGTCAGAAAACTTTCCCGCCAATCTGGGCGTCAGAGTCATCGGGCGGCCATATTGTAGACAGATTCCAGACGAGAGCAAGTGTTGGGGTAGAGCCATGACGTCACAGCACGCGGAGTGAGCACAAATTTCACGCGCGGGCTACGTCATCATCAAAATAAACAGTTGGTACAGCCACGCCCATTCAGTGATGTCACAATAATTAGACTTTAATTTTTATTCCAAATATTCAACCCTCTGTCCACATGTACACACAGATCACATGTACACAGACAGATATCATGTACACACACAGATCACATATGTACACACGAAAACATGCATAGGAAAACATTCAGCTTTAATTAAATCTAGTTTCAGAGTTAAAAAAAAAATTAACTCTACCTTCAGCGAATAGTAGTTTGGCCGAATCTAAAACAGGGAGAGTGCGGGAGGGTGTTGGATGGCTTTCTTGTACTCGAACATACCAGACCTGTATCTGTAACCGGAAGTGACCTCAACGGGCAATTTTGTCAATAAATACTCGATTAGTTAGTGCAGGCTGGACTGGTAGGATGCTACTAACCATCGACTCATTAATCAACTTAATTATGACCAGAGTTTTTTCTCTTCAAAATAAGCTAGGTAAATAATTTCCACGGTCACCCCCCCCCCCACCCCACCCCATCAACCCCACCCTCCTCTCCCTCACCAGACCGCCATTATCATCAATCCGACAATCCCTTATTTGCCATTAAACGACGGCATCTAGAGTTAAGGCCCTTACCCAAAGCTGGTATACCGCGGACCTTCACCGGAGTAGCCGAGAGTTTTATTCCTGAGCCTCGCAAATTGGTTACATCCGGGTAATCAGCGACGTATCGGTCCTTCTTTACTGAGGGGATGGGGGGGGGGGGGGGGGGGGGAAGAGGAGGAGGGAAGGGGGGACAACCGTTTATTGCCAATAAGGCTGGTGTCCATTCGCAAAGCCACAGTACGTCTACAATTTAAATTAGAATATTTAATTGTCTTTTTCCTGAAACCTTCAAAAATATAATTAAGTAAGTCGTTGTGTGACCTAGTTTAATCTGACCTACTTTTCACAACGAGACGACAGTCAGCCAATAGAACTGCGATTAACTCTGGTGTAAATTTGAATTTTTTGTAATTAGGACACCCCTGGGGTGTGTCAACGACCCCGTGATGTAGCCCAGTGCCCCGGGGGTCAGGTGATTTGCATACAACCTGACACAACCCGACTAAAAAAAACGTGCGGCTCTTGAATGACTCAACACGGATCACCTGATTAGGATTAGGACCTGGAACTCGTGATAAGAAAATAACATTTAGTTGCTTACTGCACGGGTCCCCCAAGTGGGCAATATAGCCCCTAGGGTCACTTAAGTAATCCGTGGTGGGGTGGGGGGTGGGGGGCAGTAAAACCTCCGGTGCATTAGGATGACAAAAGGGGCGATGAAAGCATTATAGAAGAGTCAATTTTCGTCCCTTTAAGACGAAGAATTTTTTTTAGATCAGACAATTTACATTAACTACTTAAAGAACCGTATCGATTACAACGTAGTATCGATCACAAAAGTAATCCTATGCGTAATTTAATTGGCATCTAAATTTTGGGGATATGGAGTCGTTGAATGTAATGAAACATGTATGTCCAAGTATTAAAAATTGGTTTATTAAAAAAATAATTAAACTTTGCGTTAGAGGTGAGAAGAAAGTGGGACAAAAATAGATATTAAGATGGCGGGGTCCACTTTTATATCACGACTGTCTCAGGATACTGCTTGAGTGATCTGATTGGACAGTTTGAATACTTTTTAAATTTTCGTTGAATATGCAACAGTCACGTGTTAATTACTGTAAGTGCTAATTAATGCGGCAGTTTTGTGCTGTAGATACCTCCTCTAGCCACGGGCAATTTTTTACCAAAATTACTTGTTTAACTGTTGATTTGTTTTATTTCTGGAGGTCTGATTCATAAGTGGTGTGTGACTTTATGTGTATGTCTGAGTGTGTTATTGTGTGTGTGAGAGTGTGGGGGGGGGGGGGGAGGAATAGGAGAGTGTCGTTTAGTACAAAGGTAGGGAGGGGAAGAGGTGTGTGTGTTAGTGGGGAGGGGGGGTTGCTACCGAGTATTCCACAGATATTGTCAGACTTTTCAGATGTTGTGTTAGCCACCAACTAATCGTCAAATGTCACAAACATAATCTTCCTCCACCCCCTCATTCCAGTAATGATTTAACCAAATTACCAAATTACCCCCTCCTCTCCCCCCCCCCCTCCTTTCCCCATTTTAAACATTTTCTTGTCGATGTCAAGAAACAGAATTTAATGTACTTACTTCACTCCCCTTTACAAATCGTCACAAAATCACAACTCCCCCTCAACCCCATTCTCACTTCAGTACATAATGAATTGTATGAACGCCACCAAATAGTCTGTTTCAAATCCAAAAAAAATCTACGTATGGGAAATAATAGATTTAACAGTTTATACGCCATTTAGGGTTAGTGGCTTGCAAAATAGGAGTGGCTAAGAATAGTTAATTGTTTTTATTTGCGGAAGAAAAAACAAACACATTTCTTACAATCCAGGTGTAAATTTTAACAACAAAACCGACGCCTAAGAAAATGGATGGCGTGTTTTCGCCAGTTTCTGGAGGAAGTTTGGCTGGCGGTAATTAGACCACACGCTGGGCAAGGCGATCCCATGAGCCTCTGGTCTTTGGACAAAAAGACCACGTGATCGTCAGGCGGGTGCTAACAAAACAGCCCCAGACGAGAATTGTGCTTGTTTTGTAACACTTAGAAATGGCCGGATTTTTCTTTTCTTACATTTACTAGAAGTTTCTGTCGCACTTACCTCCCTTCTCCTGCTACTCCGCCCACACAACAAGAACTGGTGCACAATTTAGATAGAAAATGTATTTTTAATTCCCCTATCCCCCCCCCCCCCCCCTGTTAGTTTTAAGCCCCCCCCCCCCCTTCCACCTTGAGAAAATAGTCTGAAAGAAACCCTGGTTACATACAAGTGGCAATAACGCTTAAATCACTCAACGAACTCCAACAGAAGTTTAGTTCGTATGGTACATGAGTAGATACAGTGGTTGTTCATCGTCATTGACCTCACATGATAACCCCCCACCCCCCGTTACGCTATAGACCAGGGTTGTCATCAGGACAGGGTATCAGTGTCCAGGGTGATAACTCAGAGTGTCAGGTGCCCTACCCCCCAACATTTTTGTTCTGAGGTTTAAAATCACCATTTCAGCACTCCTGCTTTATTTCATAGTTTGTCAGTGAATATTAAGATTTCTCAATTAGGTGTCATCCTCACCCCTTTTCTCCCTAAATCGTTTCCCCCAGTGAAGCCCCCCCCCCCTTCCCCCTCCACCTTCTACCTTGAAGGCTATGACAAAACAAGTGATTTTAATGCAAAAATATGAAACTGATGTGTAACCAAAAATAACTAAAATAAACAAGTGACATGAAGTATAAAGACAGGTTATCCATGTGTATAGTAAGGGACAATACAAAACTAGAGACAATCAACTTACGACAGTCTCAGTTCCATTCTTTACCAGCACCACCTCCAGGCTTGTAGACTCCACCCCCGTGTTTCTGATTGGCTGTTCAGCTGTCAGTTCTAGCCGTGACAGCCAATCGTAGGTTCCCCTGAAGACAGCTGACAGGATGTTACTATATTTAGCGCTCTCATCCTTCTTGAACGGAAGTGGCGCGAACGTGTTTGAGTTCAGCACCAAACGAGCGATGTTGTCGTTTGGTATCGTCTGCTGGTCAGCGTGGTAACGGAGGATAAGGTTTGGGTTAGTGTGGGGGTCTTTGGGCATTGGGGTTAGTTCATTCCATGGCGTGTAGATCAGGGTTATATTGCCGCTTCCGGTAGAGGGTAACTTGCGCAGTCGCAGAAGGAATTCTAGTGTGTCGTTATGATCAGTGAGAAGAAGGTACAGTGGAGTTTGACTGAAAGGGTTGAGAGTTTGGTTGAGCTCCTGAGCTAAAATATCTTTTTTTACACCTAGAACAACCAAGTTAACAAAGCAGAAATCTTTAGCTTTGTTCGACGTCTTGAGATGCCGGACGATGGTCAAGAAAGGCTCTTTGTCAGACACGATGACGTTTAAGACGGTCCAGTTGAGTTTTGAGAGCGCAGTCAACGCGTTCTCCGCAAATTGTTGATGGATGTTGTTGATTGTTGAGTAACCCGAGCTATCAACATACAACATCGGTTTATCATGTCCTACATTTGGAAGGTTTGATCCGTCGACATACGCTAGAACCTCGGCAGGATCCAGAATTTTAGAAGACTGTGTGACGTCATTGATTCTTTGCACGCCCATCTTACAGGAATCGATTTCTTCGAATAGCCTACGATACTCTGATGATCCGCAAGTATCGAATAACACGCCTTGTATTCGAGGCGATGAAGTGTTATTTTTAGCATAGAGTTGAATCGATTCCAGGAATCCAATCGCAGAAAGATACCCGGGCGGGTTCGGCTGGTCGCAGAATCCACTCACAGAAGACGTGTGGATAGGGAATAGCCCAACAACAACAAAATCACCTTCTCCGACCGCCATTAATGGTTTTCTGGCACCGCGGTCCACAAGCGTGGCAGGGCACTTAAGGCAGAAGCTACAGAATCGTCCACACGATTGGCTAAAACTCGCATTGTTTAGAACGTCACTCGGCTCTGTGGTTTCTGTGACCCTAGTCACAACACCAGCCGGGTCGACAAAACTCACGACGTTTGACTGATTGGGGAACAAGCTGAGTAAAGCATCACACAGGGAAGTATCTGACGATGAAAGATTTAAAGCTGAACACAGACCACGTACAAACATGTTGCTCCACAACACCGCACCCACGGGCATAGTCTCTAGCGAGTCCAGAAACACGCAGACGTCTGATGAGTTGTCTGCGTCACCACGACTACAGTTTAGCTCCATCGTTTCCTGGAAAATCTGTATCCTAGAGCTCAATGACGTCGACTGGTTCCCGTCGCTTGTTTTGATGATGTCGTCACATTCTGCTTCACCTGCCCAAGAAACGGAAAGAGTGGGGGTGTTTCCTGCGCTGGGTGATGACGTGTTCATGCAGTCTTGGGTAAAGTGAACCCGGGGTATGCCGGGAAGAGGAGGCAGAACGCAAATCTCGTTCTTAAGCGCGAGATCGTTGAACAATATCTCGGCGTTGCGAGATGCTGGGGACCCCGGGCTGGGGGAGATGACAGAGACAGCTGACCAGTTGAATCTTGTGACGGTCGACACGACATCCTGGGGAAACAAAACATTGTGGTATAAGCGGTGTGTAGTAAATATTGGGACACGTTAATTTAACGGTGTGTGGTAAAAGTTGTGGCACATTGTTTAATTTAACTGAGTAGTTCATAAGGTTGGACGTGGATAAACTTATCTCTTCAGGGTAAATCCAGATATATTTAAACTTGGGAACACCTCAAAAGTATTCGAGTTAGATGGGTTGACTTATGTGACGAATGATACGATGAAATAAATTAGGCTTTAATTTTAAATAAATAAACTATTTTACAAATGCAATTTAGCCTAAGGCTGTAACCGTTAAAAAGTTGTATAACGTGCAGCATTTTTATTATTTTTTTAAAACTCCCAAACGATGTTTAATTGCCGATTGTTTCAACAGTTGAGATGTTTGTTGTTAGCAAACTCAGTCTTTTAAAAAACACAGTCCACGCCAGCTATTTTTTTTTTACTAAAACTTCACAAATAACTTCCCTGGCTCAGAATCATTTCATGGATAGAAGCATTAGAAGCCTTTGGTTATTTATTTCCTTTTAAGACACTACGCGTCAGTTCAAATACTTGACACATTGTCCAAAAAAATCTCCAAATTTAAAAAATGGGAAGCCAGTTATCTCGAGAAATGAAGGAACTGTAACGTTTAGGGTGAATGACCGAGCTGCGATTTGTTTATGTTTTCATTGCGATTCTGTTACTGGCCGCGACACACCTGTCAATAAAGCAGATTTTACATCTCTGTCTTAAGGTATAACCCTTTAAGTAGGCTCTTGCGGGTCTTTGAGAGAAATCCGTTAACGCGGGGGAGGGGGGGGGGGGGAGTTTATACAAGCGTGAGTTAAGCGCATGCAGGCGGAATCAAAGGAATTAGTTTTATAACTGTGCGGGTGTTGGCGCAGTAGGGTTTAGATTTAAGGAGTTCAACTGTTGGCGGGAGTATTTATAGCTCAAACACACACACACACACACACACCACGCACACCACATACACGCCTCACACACACACTCACACACACATATATGTGTTTGTGTGGGTGGCTGGGTGGGTTGTGTGTGTGTGTACAGTGTGAGGATCATCACCTGTAGACCAGTGTAGACGTAGTGAGAGACAATGAGATGGTTGGAGCGTTGTGGTGCACGCAGGATTCGATCCGCAGACACGACCTCGATGACAGGCACGCCGATATGCTTGGTAAGGTCAAGGACGATATCCGTGCTCTTGAGGTCAGTTAGTGTTACAATAGCTGATAGTTAAAAAAAAACATCTGGCATTTTAAAACATAAATATAACAAAATATTATGACATAGTTGTTTTATTACTATACATACATTCACCTTCTTCATTCAACACAGCACACCCATACTCACACCCCACTACCTATACTCACACTTAACCGCCCCCCATCGAATACCTAAATTTACACTTACCCCCCCCCCCTCGAATACCTATATTCACACTCCCCCCCCCCCAGAATACCTATACTCACTCCCCACTTCGAATACTTATATTTACACTTACCCCATCCCCCCCCCCCGAAATACTATATTCACACTTACCACTTACCCCCCCCCCACCCAGTATACCCTTACCCAAACTTACCCCCCCCCCCAGTATATCTATACCCAAACTTACCCCCCCCTAGTATTCCTATACCCAAACTTACCACCCCAGCATACATTTACTCACACTTATCCCACCTATGTATATCTACTCTAACTCCACCCCACCCCTCTACTAACCTGTGAGACGAGGGTACCGTATAACTTCCAATAAATCTCGGACATTCTCTTGAGTATGGAAACAATTGGCTTCGACTGAAATGAAGAAATTTGATTGGTTATCTGCTAGGTCACATGCCTAGTACATCACATGACCCCAAGTTAACGAGCAGACCGGGTATAAAGCATATGAGCTGGAAGTTATTTAAAAAGTGCTAAAGGGGAGAGGGGAGGTCACCCGGGTGGGGGGTGGGGGACAGAAAGTGGGTTTGAAGCGTAATGAAAGATCTAAAAAAAACTTAAATTCCAATTCTATTTAACTTAATTCAAAATTTCCTTTTTTTTTTAAGTTCGCATCTCTGTTGAAATCCTGGCCTATTTGAAAAAAAAAATTGATTGAGAAAGATTGAGAGCAAATGTAAGGCAAAGTGCAAAGGGTGAAAAGCAATATTTGAGGAGTTTTTCAATATCAAACTAGATGGTCACGGGGACATTTGAGGGGGGTGGTGATAGATGGGTGTGGGGGACTGATATGTGGGGGTTGAGAATGTGGGGGACTGATATGTGGGGGTTGAGATTGTGGGGGACTGATATGTGGGGTTGAGAATGTGGGGGACTGATATGTGGGGGTTGAGAATGTGGGGGGACTGATGTGTGGGGGTTGAGAATGTGGGGGGACTGATGTGTGGTGGTTGAGAATGTGGGGGGGGCTGATATGTGGGGGTTGAGAATGTGGGGTGGGGGCTGATATGTGGGGGTTGAGAATGTGGGGGGGCTGATATGTGGGGGTTGAGAATGTGGGGGACTGATGTGTGGGGGTTGAGAATGTGGGGGGGGCTGATATGTGGGGGTTGAGAATGTGGGGGGGGGCTGATATGTGGGGGTTGAGAATGTGGGGGGGACTGATGTGTGGGGGTTGAGAATGTGGGGGGGGCTGATATGTGGGGGTTGAGAATGTGGGGGGGGGGCTGATATGTGGGGGGTTGAGAATGTGGGGGGGGGCTGATATGTGGGGTTGAGAATGTGGGGGACTGATATGTGGGGGTTGAGAATGTGGGGGGGGGCTGATATGTGGGGGTTGAGAATGTGGGGGGGCTGATATGTGGGGGTTGAGAATGTGGGGGGGACTGATGTGTGGGGGTTGAGAATGTGGGGGGGCTGATATGTGGGGATTGAGAATGTGGGGGGGGCTGATATGTGGGGGTTGAGAATGTGGGGGGGGGCTGATATGTGGGGGTTGAGAATGTGGGGGACTGATATGTGGGGGTTGAGAATGTGGGGGGGGGGGAGGGCTGATATGTGGGGGTTGAGAATGTGGGGGGCTGATATGTGGGGGTTGAGAATGTGGGGGGGACTGATGTGTGGGGGTTGAGAATGTGGGGGACTGATGTGTGGGGGTTGAGAATGTGGGGGGACTGATGTGTGGGGGTTGAGAATGTGGGGGGCTGATATGTGGGGGTTGAGAATGTGGGGGACTGATGTGTGGGGGTTGAGAATGTGGGGGACTGATGTGTGGGGGTTGAGAATGTGGGGGGGACTGATGTGTGGGGGTTGAGAATGTGGGGGGGACTGATGTGTGGGGGTTGAGAATGTGGGGGGGACTGATGTGTGGGGGTTGAGAATGTGGGGGACTGATGTGTGGGGGTTGAGAATGTGGGGACTGATATGTGGGGGTTGAGAATGTGGGAACTGATATGTGGGGGTTGAGAATGTGGGAACTGATATGTGGGGGTTGAGAATGTGGGGGACTGATGTGTGGGGGTTGAGAATGTGGGAACTGATATGTGGGGGTTGAGAATGTGGGGGGGCTGATATGTGGGGGTTGAGAATGTGGGGGACTGATATGTGGGGGTTGAGAATGTGGGGGGCTATATGTGGGGGTTGAGAATGTGGGGACTGATATGTGGGGGTTGAGAATGTGGGGACTGATATGTGGGGGTTGAGAATGTGGGGGGACTGATATGTGGGGTTTGAGAATGTGGGGCAGATATGTGGGGGTTGAGAATGTGGGGGACTGATGTGTGGGGGTTGAGAATGTGGGGGGACTGATATGTGGGGGTTGAGAATGTGGGGGGGACTGATATGTGGGGGTTGAAAATGTTTTGGGGGCTGATGTGTGTGGGACTGATATGCGGGGATGATGTCGGTGGAACGTTGTGTGTGGAGTGATGGTTGTAGGGGACTGATTGTGGTGGTTGATGTGTGTGGGGGTTGCTGTGTGGGGCTTATGGATGGGTTTTGTGGATGAGGTTGATGGTTGGCCTTGTGGGTGCGGCTTTTGGTGGAGTTAATGGGGGGGGGGGATTTTGGGTGGGGGCCAATGTAGACTAATGTGTGTTGTAGTGTATGGGATATGTTTGGAGTTTGTTGGTGGGGGTGATTGATAGGATTGTTTGTGTGGGGTGATGTGTGAGTTACTATGTGGAGCAGATGTGTGTGTGGGGGGAGGGGGGGGTCAACAGATGTGGCTGACGGGTGTGCTGGAACTGAGAGTTGCTGTAAAATTATGAAACTGTTTTCCTGACAAGGGGAGCTCACTATACACAGATAACCTAATCGGACAGCCTGTGGAGATGTATAAAAAAACATCAGCGTGACTTCCCTTTGTATCGATTATTTACTGCAACAGTTACCGGCCTTTATTTGGTGTTTGCAATATTTATATGTGTATGGTCGTCGTGTGCCGAGGACGTACAAGACATGCAGACAGCAAATAGCGAAAGTGATGGGTTTTTTTAAAAAATGTAAAAAGGTATTTGTTAAAGGTAATAATGCAACACAGAGAGGATTTGTTCTGGGGTGAATTCTATGCAAACGTCTAAGTAACAAGTTAATCCAATATAACGAAACGAAAACAAAAGAAACATGAAACTTTAGAAATGTTAAGCAGTCTAAATCGCCTTCAGTTCATGTAACTTTCTTTATCTGAGTTGCTTGTTTTGATAAGGGAACGTCGGCTTTGTTGCATGAATGTGGTTTTTTTTTTACTTTTTTCTCTCTCTCTCTCTCTCTCTCTCTCTCTCTATATATATATATATATATATATATATATATATATATATATATATATATATATATATATATATATATATATATATATATATATATATATATATATATGAAGATAAATATAATCTCTATGAAAAGATGTTTACAAACTGACCACAAACTTACCTAAAGTAACATTAACATCTGTGACGTAAAGTTTAAAAAGTTCTGTGATATTCCTGACGATGGACAACACATCGGTGCCTTGGTCGTCTGCTGACGTGCTGCGGTCGTCTGCTGACGTGCTGACGTCAGCTAGGCACGCGCCTGTCTCCCAGTCTATTCTGGACATGATGACCACAACAGTCCTGTTCGCGTCTGCTGTCCTGCTGTCTCCATCAGATATGCTGGCTGTTGCGACAACGATGGAGATCAGCAAAAATATTATGTTTGCGCTGGTGTGAATTAGTTTCGATCCAGGTTCGTTGACGAATCTCACTCGTTTATAATCCATGTCTTTACAGTTTCATATGTTGATGTCTAAAACAAGGTTCAGTTCTCTACTGCAGGAGGTTAGTTTTCAGATCTCAGTAGCCAGGATCAAATCCCACTGAAGCCAGGATGAAATCCCACTCAAGTCGACGACGTGTCTGCTCCTGTTCACAAGAAAAGAAAAACATGGTCTGGTGGATTGACTTGATAATTAACTTTAGTTCGGTTTCTCTCCTATATCGACAATCTAAGAGACTATGTTGTGAAACAAGCGACATTTGTGCCAGAGATACCCTCTAAGTTATAAAGACAAATGACACTTGTCCAGCCTCTAAGATATAAAGCTAGGCGACAATTGTACAGCCTCTAAGTTT